CCCCACTGAGAGTTAGGCGAGTATTCCTGCGAAAAACAACCTAAATGAGGAACGAGATCTTAGCTGTGTGCTCAAGTCGAAAATAATTTGGAAGCTTTGCTGCTTCCATGATTTCAAAGAGTCGACCAAAAGACAACACTGATTGTAACAAATAGTTATCCCTTATCCACTAAGCTAAGTTTAATATGTATGTGGAGATAGCATTTCTATGACTACGAACATGACTCGAGAAGAAGCAAGGCAATTTATGTCTCAAGAAACCAAACCAAGCTACTTATTAAATCCCTTCGAAGATGCGTCAAAATAGTAAAGGTTTTGAGAAGTGAAAGACTAGAAAGCTCTTTAATGAACATTACGAAGTTAGTCGAGTTCTAGTTGTTGATTTATTTCGATGTGATAGCGTTTAAGGCGGCGGTGGATAAGGGGTTGCTGGCCGAGCAAACATTATCCAACTATTAAAACCTAAGCTAGGTGTGGTGTCCATCCACAAAAATGGGCCACCACATGTGCCAATTACTATTGGATTAGCCTCCTCAGTATCATATATGATGTCCTCTTGAGCGTATTGTGTGATAGACTGAAGGCCCACATAAGAACTGATTGGACCTTATTTTTAAGCAAGGAAAAAATCAGTGAAAAGGAGATCGGCACCCACCACCTCTTCGTCGATTTTAAAGCAGCCGTTCACCACAAAAAAAGTTGGTATTCCCTCAAAACTTAAATGGCTGTGTGAACTGGCGCTAAGCAACGCCAAAAGCTTCGTAAGAATCGGGAAGGACCTCTCCATGCCCTTCGATACTAAACGAGGTTTCAGATAGGCTGGTTTCTTACTGTTTGACTGCTTTACTCCACTGCTTGAGAAAATAATAAGAGCTGAAGATCTGAATAGAGAAGGTACAATCTTCTATAAGAGTGTAAAACTGCTGGCGTACGACGAGGACATTGATATCATTGGTCTACCAAAGCCGCTCCACGAGTTCTTCTTTCTCCAAGCTGGATTAGGATACACAGTTTACGAGTCTAGTAGCGAACGAAGTCATAACGAAATGTCTCGACGAACAAAGACCAAACTCGACAAGTCGCTCATCATTCCCGTTCTGCTATATGGGGCGAAGGCATGGACTATGACAAGAACAACTGATCAGTCTGTGCTGAGAGTTTGAGTGAAATGCTTTGCTTACGTTGAGCTATCTTGTACAGCTCACGGCGATATTGAAAAAGAGAAGCGAATCAAGAAACCAGGGTAGCCACGGTTATGTGGTTCGGAGGGATAAGAATACTGCAGCCTAGTAAGTTTTCGATGCAACAGCGGCTGGTGCGGGGAACAGAGGAAAAAGTAGACCTGCACTCCGCTGGGAAAGCCAGCTGAGGAAGTAGCTGGCTGCACTTGATGTTTCCAATTGGCGTCAAAAAGCGAAAACAAGGAGAAGTAATGAATGGCGAGCTGTTGTTAACTCAGTTATAATTCTCAGTTAAGAAGAAGAAGAAGATATTATAGTCAGGATAAGACTGACAACTTTCGTTCTAACCTATTTAAAGATCTCGAACTGCACAAACTTTGTGGCTCATTATTAGTGCCCAGAACCAAAGTTCCCAAAACTATAGAGAGTCTTTATTTAAAATCTTTGGTTTCTCTGTGATATACATATCTACGAATGTTTGAATTCCGGGTACAGACACATGTGACTCCATAACAGAATCTTCTCATTCTGATTTCTACCTGATACGTCTTTCCGAAGAAAATACAATGAAAACTGAAACAGTAACACCCGCCCCCATTGTATTGTCTTAACATTAAACTAACAAAACACAGATGTACATATGTACATATGAATGTTATAGTGGAGGAGTGATCTCTAATCCCTACTATGGTAGGTACTCCTACAATAAAAACAACGCTTGCAGAATTGACATTTCGACATGTGACTTTGCCTTGACATTTGCCAATATTTTGCTAAGATTTTCATGTGCTTAGACGTTTATTTGTCATGATTAAATCCATTACCAGGGATAATCATATTAACATACAAAAACAAAAGGTTGGTTTATTGAACAACATTTGCATACGGATTTTCATGTTTAGAGATGCACAAAGTCAGCGAATACTTTCAGCACCGCCCATCAACAAAACAGTAAGCAAATGTTTGAAAATACTTACCATTTTGCTATTGATAACACACATACATTCATTCATACATATGTACATATGCATATGGTTTTGCTAATATTCAACGGTAGCACAAACAGAGCTACTCGACTACAGACGAACAGAATTTTCCCCGACACGTAGCGCAACGAATGTGATTAACCCTTCGGAGTTTGTGTCGAGCGGTATATATGTACATATATACATGTGTGTGATTGTGTGTAGGTGTACGCGAACAATTCGCACCATTTCTTAGCCGTGAAGATAACCGCAGCATAAATATATGCATTGATCTGTGTATGTCGAATTATATGCCAAAGAAAAGTGCACCATAAGGAAAGACATATTTAATTGCCGGCATTATATATGTTTGTGGGTCAAGATTTTCCTTTGTTTGTCCAGCCTTCATCACAAAGCGCATCCAGTTGGCTTTTGTCGGAAAATCAGTCAGTGTAAAATTGATACAAATATCATATACTAAAAGCAGTTTTAGGTCAAGCCCTTTAGTGAAAATTTATCATATTTATTGCAAATGTATATACATACATATATGTGTATGTATGTATATGTAAAGGGTGATTATTTAAGAGTTATAGGAAAGTTTTTTGAAAAAAGAAGACATAAAATTCAGAAAAATTCTTGAAATCTTTATTTGAATCGATAGTACGGTCCATATAATTTAATGTTTGAAGATTATTTAATGCAAATGTTGACCATGACTGCGCCTCAAATGGTCCATCCGCCTAGTCCAATTTTGACATACTCTTTCCAACATTTCGGTCGGTATCTTACGAATAAACGCTTCAATGTTGGCCTCCAATGCGTCAATTGAAGCGGGCTTGTTTTTATAGAGTTTAGATTTAATCTAGCCCCACAAAAAATAGTCTAAAAGCGTTAAATAGCGCGTTCTAGGCGGCCGATTGACCGATCCCGAACTCGCCTATCAATAAATCCATTGTTGCGCGTGTTGTGTGGCATGTGGCGCGGTCTTGTTGAAGTCCAGCTCTTGCAATTTGGACAAAAAAAAGTTTGATATCATCTCACGGTAGCGCTCACCATCTACAGTTACGTTTCGATTCGCAGAAGTACGGTCCAATGATGCGACCAGCCCATAAACCGCACCAAACTGTGGCACTTCCTGGATGCATTGGTAGCTCTTGCAATGCTTCTGGCTGATCTTCACTCCAAAATCGACAATTCTGCTTATTTACGAAGCCCTACAAAGCACGAAACGTGCGTCAGCTGTTTAAACCAGTGTTTCCATAAAGATTACAACTAAAAAAAATCACCCTTTTTATATACATACATAGGTAAGTAATGTGTGTGTGCATGTACAGAGCATTTCTTCTTAGGAATATTTGTGCACATTTGCCAATTACTCCGCATGTGGTTCGTAGGCTGAAATGGTGCCAATAGCTTGTGGTTATTGTTAGGTTAGTTTTAAATTTTTTTCCGTGTTTCTGCAGTTTTTTTTAACAAAACCTTATGCGGGGTCCGTATAATTCTCTATGTCCAAGCCGGAGCATCTTCCCTTAGAAACAGTCAAAACTAGTCTAATTCATCGAGGTCATCTAACGGGTGGTCCAGAAAACAAGCTGTTTCGACGGGTTGGGACAAGGGTCGACTCTAATATCCAGATTTTATTTATGTCAATGACGGATACTCTCTGAGTGGTGTTTGAGGCCTATCGGTCCTACACGGTCCTGTCCAACGTTTGCAGACTATGGTGCTACATGAAGTAGATATTGATTTATACTCCCTTCTTGATGTGCGTAGTCGGCATGTCGGGATCCAGTCTGGATAGATAGGAATTAAGTTGACTCTAATATCCAGTTCTAAATTGCATCAGTAGTGCTTGGGTTTCTAGAGGTAGCACGAGCTCTTGGTTTGCAATTGATGGTACTTGGACGGCTCATAACGGATTTGGCGGACACTTTGTGCTAAAGTACTCAAAAACGGCTCCAGTGAAAGCAACAGGTATCTTTTCAACTGTACCTATACTATCATCTCAATGACGACGATATTAGAGCCAAGGCCTGCCAGTGTGTAATCGGGACAGAGGCTGTCGTGCCATCCAGTTCCACAGAGTATCACCCCTGTAAACTCAGGTAACAGACCACAACTACCACCAGATCGAAATAAAATAATTAAGACAAAGAGTCATGAGTAAATCCTTGGACGGGAAAGGTCAAACCACTCACTCCACCGTTTTGGCAGAGCTACGAGGCTTATGGTCCACCTTATAATCTGGCATTTGGAGAAACAACTCCAATTAATTTTTCAGCTATTTTGATGTATTGTCGCGTCGTGGCTATGTTCTTAGCGCTTCACTCCCAATATGAAGCTATGGTGGCATGCCTTTTTTAACAGTTACAGTGCATCAAAAGAGGAAGAGAGCCTACATCGGTTCAATAGTGTGGCTAAGATGCCAAATGCGAATGTGGGGTGAGAAGGAGAGTTCGATAGTTGAAGCATCTTCTTCAGCGTGTAGTATTGTTTGTAAACTGTGTGCTTACAATAAAATAGCTGAAAAACAAATCTTAGGATTTTCATTTAACAATGGGATACAAATGTAGAAAACAAAAAAAATGCTAAAATAAAATCAGAAAAAAGTGATTCGAATAATTTCGTAGCATTGAAACTACCCTGTGCTATAATTGTGTTGATGCTGCCAGATACACAGGTATTTAGTATCACCCAACTTTAATACATTTTTTATCGAATATAAATATAACTGATTATATTACATAACAAATTCTATTAATTCTCTTGATTATTTTAAATAATTATAAGGAAAACACATTAAACACATTAATTTGGTTGCAATTTGATAGAATTCCCCATTTTCATCTCAACAACGGCAACACGGTTCTCCCAGATGAGCTGCTGCAAGCCTGACGTTTCTCAGGTGTGATTTCGTGCGATTATTACGCACACATATTTCATTTCCATATAAATTTTTTAATTAATATTTATTAAAAACGGCTTGAGCATCAGATAACGACTGAGCCCTTATAAAACACAACGAATTTTGAAAGTGTCAAAGTCAGCAACCTTCGTGGAAAATGGCCGAAAATAAACAAACCGATAAAAAGGAATTAGATGATCTGCTTGACAGTGAGTCCAATGTGCACGTCCCTCTTATGATGGGCGTATTAAATTATATAATATAGCATTACAAATATTCAAATATGATATATAACTTGTTTTTGAATAGGTGCTTTACAAGATTTCGATAAAAATAGCACGCCTGCAAGTGCAGGAGATGCAGATAAAGATTTGACTGCAAATGGGACGGCGACCGGTGCCACCGCTGCTGCTGGTACGGCAGCTGATCCGGATGCATTTTTTATGTAAGTAAAAATGTTGCTTTAACTTTCTTTTTGTAATTGCTTTCATTTTATTTTGAAGTGAACAGGCAAATGTGTTAGCCGAACGCATGCAGACTCTCTTTGGTGGTCCAAACACGCCGAGTGGTGAATTGCCACCTCTACCGCAAGATCCTGATCAAATTTTAGCAGGATTCAAGAAAATGGCCGAAGCGGCTGCAATGACCTTGCAAGGCGAAAATCCAGCAAGTGATGAGGATGTTGCTAAATATTCGGATAGCATAGCACAAGCTCTGAAGGTGTGTATATGCTAATAATTGTGTATGTATGTGTGCAAGTGTGCTAAAAGCACCTGACACCGATACTAATAACCTCATGCTAATTAATAAATATGTTGATTTTTAGGGGCTGCAAGAGGGTTCGGAAAATCTCAGCGCACCTGTTTCTGAGACTGATGTCGCTAGTATGTTTAGTGGGCTCAATTTAGAAAACGTAGGTTTGACCGGTTTTTCATCATCCGATGTTTTCTAATAATTAATTATTCTTATAGCCCGGCGAGGGAGACAATAATATGTTCCTGCCGTTTATGGAAGGCATGATGCAGAGTTTATTAAGTGCTGAAATACTGTTGCCTAGCATCAAAGAGTTAGTCGAAAAGTATCCGAAATATTTTGAAGAACATGGTAGCAAGATTAGTGCTGAAGAGCGCGAACGGTATGATTTCTACAATTATTTGTTGGGAGGAAAAGTGCATTAAGAGTTTGTTTTTTGTTTGTTCTTTTTTAAGGTATGAAAAACAATTGGAACTCTATAAAGTGTTGGAAAAACTATTAGAGGCAGAGAAACCCGACGATACAGCTGCAGTCAAACGTGAAAATTTCAAATCTGTATTGGATCACATGCGCAGACTGCAGGAGTTTGGAAACCCGCCTGAAGAAATTTTGTCTGAAACCGCGGGCGATCTGCCAATATTGGACCCAAATTTAGCTGGTGGAGCAGGAGCTGGAGCAAACCCACAATGTCCTATGATGTAGTTAGGTGATACTAAGAATGTCGAGGAAGCGTATGTCAATGTGTGATGAAACATCAACCTTTCTAATATAGTAATATTTAGTATTTTGATTTATAACGTTATTGTAGTTATTGCTTTATTATTTAAATTTTTGGCTAAAGACAAATTGATCTTTGCATTCTCTGTTCATTTCGTATATACATATGTACGTGTTGAAATGCTTTTGATATATTGTTCATATGTATATCAATTAATGGTTTGACGTATAAGAAACTTTGCAAATATTAATTTTTAATGTTTTTTGAAAGAAAAAATTAACTCATATTAAATATATAAAATGTTTTGATAACAAAAGAAAAACACGGTGCAGTTCTGTACATGAGTTACTTCTGTATACATTTATTTTATAAGTTTCATTAAATCAAAATTTTAAAACATTACAAGAAGAAACGACGACGTGAAGCCTCCATAGCGTGCCGTTTGTTTGTAATTATCCAAGAGTAGTCGCCAGTTTTGCTGTCGAATAAACCTTCCTGTAACGAACGGAGTTTCAATGTAAAACGTGGTCCCAATTCACGTAGATTCACCCTTTTGCCTTCTTTTGAGAATTCGTAGCGATGATGACGGAAAAATATGTAATCACGTTGATTATGGAAGGTAACAGCACGTCGACCTTTAAACTCAGGATCATGATGAAATAGTGCACCCAACATACGGCCTACAGTTAAACCAAGTCTCGTTGTAAAGTTTGTCAATATCACTTCAGGCCGATGTTTTGTTATCTCTTTATGATTACGCTTGATGTCCGATGTTAGTTTGACATTAGATAATTTAAAATGAGCTGTTGGTCCATTAGGTAAATGAATTACAAGTAAGCCGTTCGGTTTTCGTCGATCCTCATTCACAATCACCACATCTGTGTATTCCTCACGTATAGCACTTTTACATATATTCTTAACAGAAGATCTATTACGAATTTTAACCAATGCATTTGGAAATATACGACTTAGTTCAAGACCAAATTTACGTGTCTTCGTTACGGGATTATCAGCGAAAGTAATTAATACTTTTGGTTCATAACTACGTTCAAAATATGAGCTGAAGTCATCCATTTGTAACTCTCGTCGTAATTCCTCATTATCCGAATCATCTAAATTTGTTATGGTTGTTTGATCCTGTTCACGTAAACTTTCTATAGTATGACCAGGATTTGCAGGTAAGCCTGCTTTGCGACGTGCACGCCTTTCATGCATTTTTTGTTTATGCTTTTCCTTTTTCATTTTTTTAAACAACGCCATACGTTGTTCTTTGTTCTTCATAAAAGCTAGAGGATTTATTACAGGCATGCGAACCTCTGTGTCCACATCTTCATCATCGCTTTTCTCCTCAGCATCATTGTCGTTATTAGCTTTATCGTCATCGTCATCATCATTATCATCATCATCATCATCATCACTGTTACCTTCATTGTCGGCTTTTGTTTTGCTTTTGGTTTTTAATGTACTTTTTTCCTCCACATCCATATCTTCATCATTTTCAGAATCATCATCACTACTGTCACTGTCGACGTCTCCTTTATCCTTTTGTGCTTTGGATTTTACTGCTTTCTTACGGTTGCTCATCGTAGGCTGATCCTCTTCAGCGCTAGAATCAGCTTCCTCCTCCGCATCCATGACTTGTGAATTATCCTCCTCAAAACTGGAATCACTCTCGGAATCTATAGGCTTATTTTGGGATTTCTTTCTCATGATTTAATTTTGTTCTTAGTTTATGAAAAAAAATTTATAAATAAATTAGCGGCACGTGTATGAAAAAGTAAACTATTTAAGACAACCCTTCTTCTTTTCAAGCAGACATTCACAATAGTATGCAGTATCGTAGATCTCTAAGAAACGTTAATATTAACCTCTTCATATCGTGAAAACGTAATAATTAAAACGAGTTAAAATTATACGCATCACGTGTACGTAAATATATAAAGTAATGTATTAAAAAATTTAATGTTTTTTATGAATTTTCATTTATTTGATGTCAAATCAATGTTTATTTTATTCATTACAATTCATCTATGGCTTTAGTTTGATAGTACAATAATATTTTGAGATATCAAAACACTGTATAGTCAGAACTCTAATCGCATATTATTATATTTTTGATTTATTACTACTTTTACTTTTCAATTTAAGTTATTGTTCGTTCTCTTCTTCGGTAAGATAATAATAATGTGTAATACATACAATTTCATTAATTAATAAATCCCTAATTGCAAATTGCCGACGCAATCAGTTTCATTTTTAATATTTATCACCAAATGAAATATTGTTGTTATAAATATAAGATAATAAATTTGTACAAACAAAGATTATTTTTCAATTTTTTTTTTAACACAACCATTGAAATGTATAATTGTATTTTAAAATATGTTTACATATGTACATATGACTATATAATAAATAATGTCTACCAATATGTCATAGCTACGCCAAAAAGAAGGGAAACAAAAATATTTAATATCTAAAGATCCACAAACCATTATATATATATATACTATAAATATTCATGATAAAACCAAAATAAATTTCAACATAATTAGTTTTTTTAATATAATTTTTATGTTTGCAATAAGCAACGTGTGTACAAATCTAACTAGTGGAGATATGCCAAATAATGTGCTAGATAAAAATAATTTTAATTAAGTTTACTAAATTTTACTAAAATAAAATATATTACTTTACAGCTGAGTAATATCGGGGAAAGAGATTCCGTTTTAAAAACAACAAAATGTCGTATGTGAATTTTTGAAATACAAATATTTTCCTAATAAATAAATAATAGTTTTGAAACAATGAAAAAGCACTCGAAAACTAATTGTTTAATATTTGTGTATAATTGTCATGATATACGAAAAAAAAAGTTTTTTTTATGAAATAAATCTTTTTTCTAAACTTATGTTTTTCCACATACGACATTTTCAAAAACAATATACATATGTACATAAATATTAATTTGCATATTTGCAAGTTATATTTACAATTCAGTATTAATTTTTAAGATTTTCTCTATTATTCGAGCATAAAATATATTTGAGCAAACATTTTAAAAACTTAATACTTAAATAAATGAACATTATTTAAATTAAAAATAAATAAAGTATATAAATATGACCAAAATAATACACATTTTACAATACAGTCAGTTATACAGACTTCTTTTTATTATTTTTATTTTTGAAATTCTTTTCAATTTTTATTGTTTGTGGTAAAAAATTGTGTTTCACTGGTATTTTTGTAAATTTTTTTTTAAGAAATTGACCGCCTTTAGATTCTATTACTTTTCTACAGTCGTATTTGAGCCACTGTACGTTTAAGCCGACGGCAGATAAAACTTGTTTATGTCGATTGACAATTCTAACGTTGTTATTGTAATATAGCGAAAAACAAGCAGTATATTTTTTCTATCAAATATTAAAAAAATAAAAAAGGTGATTGAACTTGACTTAAAGTTTTTCAGATTAAATTTATGAAACTCGCGAAAAAATTAAGAAAATAGATGGAAATTTAAATTAACTAATGGTTGATGCATGTAAAGAGATGAGAGTTGGCCAACTTTTAGGGTTGCGTTGCGTTGCTTAAGTGGGACATTCCTTAGAGCTGATGTACTCATCTTAGACGTACAAGTTAACCGGTCTCGCAAAGTCTGCCATCGGCTTTAAATTATTAGCCAACAAAAGTATATTTTAAATCTAAACTCTATGTTTTAAACTCTTTAGTGCATTCGGGCCTTATACTGAATTCCTTGCATGTGTATTAATATTATTGTTTATTATATTTTTGTGGCTGCATTAAACTTGACTGTTTTTGATTTACATATTCACTTAAAAGTCCTCAACCTTTTATTTACTAAGGATTATATACAATTATTTACTTTAGTTTTTAAATAACTAGTTTAAACTATATGTGTACATATATAAATTTGTCTTTTCTGAATTATTATTATTATTAATATTTTCAAATATTTTCTGTTTGTTATTGATTCGATAACGCTTTCACTAAATATTTAATTTAAGTCTTTTATAAAAGTTACTATTTTTTTTTTTTTTTTTTTTTGAAAATTACACTGGTCATAAAATGCAGTAGTTTCTCAGAAGTCCAGTTTTTGAATACAATAATTTTCCAAATAGTTTTATGTTATTTCTATCTATGCTATAAAAACCAACAAATCAATAGTCTAACGATTCGAGATATTTTACGTTTGATCAATGCTTTCTATATCTATGTATGTGTTTTGTGTTTTGTTTTAGATTTATCTTCGTTGTCAATGCAACTGATGGCTGTAACTTTGTATTAGTTTAGTGAAACATTCGTTGCCACTTTAAAAAAAAAAAAAGTCATGTGCACCGTTAAAGTAATATTGAATATTTGTAGTTTACACATAAATGTAAACTACACCTAAGGTTTAATAAAAATAACAACCCTGTTGCTTGTAGGCAAAAAAAACAGAAAGAAATTTGCTTCATTCAAATTGAAAACGTGTGTTCTGTTAAATACGAGGAAATTCAACGGAAGTCATCGGAAGTGGCATATATACATACATATTTAGCTTTTACTCAATATAAATAATTTTTAAATTCAATGTTAATATGACAAGAAAATACAAAGCGGATAATTCTGTACTAAAAATGTGGTTAAGCGAGTATAAAATATACTATATACATACGTATATAAATAATTGCTGCAGTGATTTTGGTCAAGCTGGTCTTGCACTTCGTTGTATACGTCTTGATGCCCTTCCAACAAATTGAGGGACCTACAGTGTACACTAAGCCGCCTTCAAACACTTGATGGAGTCTCTTATGAGGATCGTTGATTTCATATCAGAAATACACTCGGGTGGTTGACATTACCTGCCCAGGGGTGATGGGAATTAGAAAAATTAATTTAATTTTTTATTTCAATAAATTGTCTACAATTCTTAGATGTTGGTCGGACCAGAATTCGAAGCCTGGGCTTTTTTCTATCCTACTCAATGTAGCCGCATAACTTTAAACATTTGCTCTTTATTTCCTGCCATTTGATGAATGATCATATGCATAATCGATTTCTCAATAGGTGTCTATTAGAAGTTAAGCTCGCGATACTTGGTCCATATTAGAAAGTTAAAGCACCAGGAATGTCTTAAGGGTGCCAGTACCTCGCAGCATATTTAATACATATCACTCTCCCGCTTCAATAATTTTCGATTTGAATGAATTTCTTACACAAAACATGGCACATCTCGAAATACAACAATAAAGGAAAACAATCTCAATAATACCAAGCGAGAAAATGAGACACCCACATAGACAGTGAAGAGTAAATATTTTATTAAAACCTGAAGAACGTGTCAACTGCTAAGGCAATAATGTTGATCGATGTCTCTCTTTATAGCAGTCATGAAGACATCCAATCACAAATGCTAATAATTCATTTCGGAATATGCGGGGCATTACCAGATCATTTCAGAAGTAAGCGTTGGGCGCACTACGCTTTCCCTTAAGTGTTTAGCCACTTGTTTTAGGAACCGAAGGACGAAACACAGACCAGAGCTCGCTTTAAATAAAACCTGTATAAACTTAGCACAGTTTCATATGTTTTCTAAAAATTCAAATTGGTTGCGTAGATTGTAAAATATTTACAAAATTTAAAGGTAACAATGATTCAGCTATGAAACAGACTAAAAAGCTTAAAAATTATATCCACCTTATTGCAGACAGCAAAGAGTAATCTAAATCAAACAAAGCGACTATAAATATTTACTTACTCACTTACGCCGCCACTTGATGGCCCACAATAGCCGCACCACCGCCAACACCAGTTCCACCACTTCCAACGGCACCAACACCACCACCACCACCACCACCGCGTTGCGTACGCATGAAATTACGTGCATTCAATGGAAATTGTCGCGGATATGTTATTAAAGCCGAACCTAGCGCCATGCTCAGCGGCGCTTTATGCCTTCCCGGTAGACTGATGAACACTGTGCCCACTGCCGCCAAGTTATCAGCAGTCGGTTCGATTGTGATTAGTAAAATTTCAGACGTATGTGCACCGGTTGTATGACGCGAACGCGTACCCGTTATATTGCGCACTGAACGCGCTGATGATGGTGCTGGCTGTGGACTTTCTATATCCAGTGCGCCGGCTGTGAGGAAGACGCGCGCAAATGGACGCTTTGCTAAATGCAACATTTCGACGACGTGCTGACGTCGAGCACGTCGCAAATCGGCCGCTTGCTTCACCTTCCACACAACCACGCAAACGGCGAGGAAGAGGAAGAAACAGGAGAAGAATACGGAAAAGAAAACGAACAAATCGATATGTAGTTGGTCTTGACGAAAAACCACCGAACCATAACTGGGCTCGGGACCGGCGCCAGCGCGTAGTGCAATAAAAAAGCGTGTTGCACTTAAATTGTGTGCATTCTGTGGCAGCGTTAACACCAAACGATTCTTTAAGCCGAAGAGTCGTAGCAGTGTGTTGCAATGATTCAATGTGACATGTGTGCTCAAATCCTTGGCATGTTTATCCTTAACGTGGAAACTGTGACCACCGTGACTTTTGCAGTCCTGTATATGCGGTACATAGAAGCTGTTCCGTTTGTCATGCATAACCAATTTGCTGGCAGTTATGTTGTCGGTGCGTGGCATCGCTATGTGCAACGGGTGGTTACGTTTCGTTTTGGGTACCCAATTGTAACGGTTATCAAGAAAGATTTCATGGAAGCCCGTCGTATCGTTGGTTTCCACAATGAATGAGTCATCTTGCGGAGACATGAATACGTCCAATTCGCCCTGTGTGACATCGATTATGATGCGTATGTCCACATTCATGAAACGCGGTTGAATGACAAAGAAGACGGTCTGTCCCGGTCGAAGTGCGGCTGGTTTCGATTTGCATTCCTCTGTTACGTGGAAATGGAAGAAAAAGTAAAAAATCCATTAATAAATCATATTAAATAAGAGATTACGATGTTACTGTAATGGCTAAAGGGACGGTTGCTATAGCAAATGAGTAGCACTGCATGTAATTATGCAGAGGGCCTTGGGGTTCGAACACTGACCAAATCAGCCTCTAAAAAACTATGGAAATAGTGAGAAGCTAGACACAGAAAGCGCGCTGACGTAGAGTAAAATCGAGCTTGGTGAAAATAAGTTCCGGAAGCGAAAAACGGGCTGAGATGAGTGGAGCTAGCAATTGGATTGAATATGTAATTAGAACCCTCTTTGTCTTGTCTTATGGCTTGTACAATACCAATCTTCTCCTAGGTACCTTAATGGTCTTAAAGACGACTACGTTTCGAGCGTTGGTGAGCGGTTTCGAGTGAGGAAATACTTAGAATGAAAACTAAATTTAAATAAATTACAGCCGTTGAGAAGACGAGACTGGTCTAAGTCATGGAGATTCAGAAAACGAACTGTTTTGACGATTTCAGACCAGAGAGAAAGAGGTAAGAAGTAAGTTTTAGCGGACATGGAGAGAGGTGGTTATTATCGTGCGGGGTCTCAATATCCAAATCTTAATTGTGCCAGTATTAATCGGGTCTCTCGATATCTTCGACTGCAATACGTGGTGCTTTGATTTCGAGAACGACATTCACTACAAGAGAGCCCATGAAGGTGGGAATAGCGTTTAAAGCGTTTGAGTAAGCCGTCCTGTCCAGCGGTTCTTGTATTTGATTCTTTATTGAGTCAAGTAATCCCTTTCTGTTGTGCCTGGCCCAACGTTAATTCTCAATTAAATGTCGATTGGGGGATTGGAGAGTTTCAGCTGATACATCTTTGTCCAACTGGTGAAAAGGTTGTAGTTGTTGGTGTTGTTTATTAAAAAAAAAAAGCAGGAACCCGACTCCAAAGACATCCGGTTCTATTCACCGGATCACCCTTTCTAGACCGCCGAAAGGGCAGACTAAGGTTATGAGGAAATTCTAAGGCGATGCCTGTCTACCAATGGACTTTCTAAGCTGCCTCCGTCCGACAGAGCCTTTGATTTTGAGTTATTCTCAACGCGAGTGAGTGAGTTCCATATTGAAGGTTATAATTATACAATATTTGTCAAATCGCCGTCTAGGTAAATAAAAATGAACTTCTATCAGTATAAACACTTACCAATTGGCTTAGCGTCGAAACACATACGCGACTCCACCGTTATTTGCTTGTAGCATTGATGTCCATCAATCGGATTCCCCGCATACGAGTCCCGACATTTCGAACACTGCACACTCCAGCAGAGTTGCGCCGAGTTCTTGCCACCACCCGCCGTACATGTGGCATCGCTCTCCGTATTATTGCCACAGTTACATTTCTCACCTGTCACCGGATCGCAAATATTGCCATGTCCATGACATTGGCACGGTCGACACGCCTTGTGATGATCTTCACTACCACGGAAATAGCCAACAATACAAGTGTCACAACGATCGCCAGCAGTGCTATTCGCACAACGCAAACAAGTTGCATTATTCTCGGGACCCTCAAGCAAAACTTCTTCCAACTCGGTGTGTGTCATATTGAAATAAGTTGCATTAGAGTCGTGTGCCAGGCAGACATCGGTATGACCATTACAGTACTCTAGGCAAGGTACACATTCGTGACCTTCTTTTGGATTGCCCACATAGAGCGGTTTACACTTCTCGCATTGATCACCCTTTGTGTTGTTGTGGCATTCCAGGCACACATCAAGGCGATCCGGACCTTCGCAGTTCGAATGACCGTTACACAAACATTGTATACTACAGTTGGCACCAACGTAGCCAAAATCACACGTGCAGTTGTCCGGCTTGATACATTTGCCACGCACACAGCCCTGACTACACACTGGCAAGCATGTACCGTTCTCATCGCGGTAGCCTTCGCCACATTGGCAAGTGTAACCCACATCTGTGTCGATGCAGCGCTCCGAAATGGGATTGCAGTTGTGATGGCCATTCTTACACTCGTTCTCGGCAGGACATATAACATAGTGCCAGGAAACCACATCCGCCGGCGTTAACTGCGAGTCATTGCGACGCGATGTGTAAATAAGATCACAGGTCGAACCGGACGGATATTCTTGCTTATTCTCAAGCGAACCTTCTGTGCAGACGCCATCACCATTGAATCCATCACGCGCACACCAGCCACAATGCGCGTGCTCCAAACAAGTCGAACAGTGGTCGTACACGTGACATGGCTCCGGACAATGTGAGGTCTCATTCGCCTCCAAGACTAAGCCGCAAACGCCACCAGCACAGAGTAGTGGCTGGGACTGTGGCGAGATGCAGCTGTTTAACATCGTTGACCATTTGCAGTCTTTCGGGTTTTCGTCCAAGTTCGTTAGGCAAGTGCTGCAGTTTTTGTAGATGTGACATGGCATTGGACAATCGCCAATAATGCGATATTGATTTTGCTCAACGAGCTCCTTCGTAATGCATTCAATCGTGCCAAGTTCACTCTGTGCCCATTCACAGTTCTCATTCATCACGCAAGCTTCGCAGTGCAGCGTATGGCATTGTGGTTGTGGGCAGAGATTCAATAAGCCGACACTGATTTCTTTATTACACCAAGTGCTGTGACGTTCACAGTCCACACCAGCCGGTACGCAGCGTCCTTTGATACCACACTCGTCGCACCACTGACACACTGGCGTCGTTTCTACGTGAGTCGGCCAGGAGGCAAGGCAAGCGCTGCAGGTAGTGAAGGTCGAACAATTACGACGCGCCATCCACGCGTCATCACAAGCAGCACCATTATTGTAGTTCAAAGTGCCGTTATGATGCTCGCACACAGCCGAGTCGCCCTCGGAGAAACAGTAAGAGGCAGTGCTGTAAGTGCCTGTCACCGTACAGAAGCTGCAACCTTTATGATGACGACACAAATACTTGTTGGCACTCCACAACTGGCAAATATCATCGGGCAAATTAATGCGCGTCACATGGCTCTGTGCAGCGCTGCCATCCCACCCGCCAATTACATAAATCGCATTGCTTTCGTGGTCGATGGAGATTGCCTCCGCGTATGTTGAATGCGGTAAGCGGCCCACGACATGTACTTCCTCCGTCAGACGTATCCACTGATTACAGTCATATATGTAGGCGATGAGTACATCGTTGGCATCGTAAGGATGTGTGCGCCCGCCATAGACGACCATATATTTTTCTGTCGTTGCCGCTGAATGAAAGTAACGCGCGCGCGGTAATAGACTATCAGGACGCGTCATATCTTTAAATGTGGGCAGCTCTGTCCAAGTCATCTTTTGCAAGTTGAGCGCGTACAGTTTATTCTGTGGCTCCGCAGAGTATCCACCAAATACATAGAGTATATGGGAGTCGGAGCTGTATACGGTGCTGTGACCGTAGAGTACCGGCATACGTACGCCCAGCGCGAGCAGTTGCTCCCAGTGGAAGGTCTCCAAATTGAACTCCCACAACTCCAGCTGGCGCGACTTGTTGCGCGTCATTCCACCTATCAGTATTAGTGACTCACGTTCATTGTACCGAATCTGCGTCAGCGTATGACCCGCAAGCGCCGGCGGTTTTTCTCGCCGCTCGCGCAATTCAATTTCGCTCCAACGTTGGTTTTGTATGGAAAATTGCCAGAAATCGTCGAGTATTAGTTGTGAAGTGCGCTCCTCCTGCTCGCCGCGTATGCTGATACCGCCGTAAATGAAAATGATTTGTTTCTTCAAATATATCTCCGAAGCGTGAAAGTAACGACCCAAAGGCATTTTGTCGTCTGGTGTCGACTCCACCGTCACCTGCATCCAAGTGCCATTCTTCGCGTCGAACTGGCGAAAATCATTAAGCGGTCCATGTGAGGGCGAGTAGCCGCCAAACATCCAGAGCGATCCACGTCTGTCAGCATTCACTGAGTGCCCGAAGCGCGGTATAGTCTTACGCAAGTGTTCATAAGTATCGCTCAGTAGCAGCGTGTTAAAAAGATCACTAACAACTAGATGGTTCGGTTTGACGAGCGTGCCACAGTCGGCGCCTGCGTAGCTGCTGTTGCATATACAGCGCCCATAATCGGTGTCGCAATAACCCTGCATGCGCTTGGCGTTACAATTCTTCGGACATATTTCAATCTCACAACGGGCGCCTACATAACCGGCCGGGCAAACGCAGCGCTGTTGCTCATCACAGATGTGCGGATGGAGACAGGTGCGCGCTGCGCAATTTTTCACTGTGTAAAGCGCATTGAAACCGAATTTCTGGCGATCACCGCCTTGCTTATAATATACCGTTACGTGACTTGAGCGTGCCTCTACAATATGTGTGGCAGTATAGGGCGAACACACGACCGATATGAGTTGATTTTGTTGCGTCGCGCCAGTCAAATCGGGCAAGCTGTCGTATATATAAACAGCATTCTCATCACAGTCCATTGCAAGACTCGGCCATTCAAACTCTAATTGCAACAGCGATTTTTCCGCTTGTAAAGTTTTCGGTGATAAAATCCACAAACATTCGCGTACCTCCAAGCTCGCGCCCCAGGGATTTTTATATGATTGATATGAACCGATACCGCTACGTCCGATATTCGTGAGCATGCCGCGCGACTCACACTGAAAGTAGCACTGCCCACCGTCGCGCGGATCACCATAATAACCACTGGCACACTGATCGCACTTCAAACCCACTGTGTTGTCCTTGCAATAACACTCGCCGTTCCCCACATTGCAAATGCCGAGATCCTGATTGCCATGGCCGTTGCACTCACATGGATGGCAGCCGCCCGCCGATGTCGCGTTACCGTAACTACCCTGACGGCAACGCTCACAGCGCTCGCCCTCCGTCCATGCTTGGCATTGATCGCATTTACCCACCCGTTCCACGCACGTCGAATGATTGTTGCAGCCACAGTTGATGGAGCAGTCAGTGCCGGTCCAACCCAGTTCGCATTTACATACGAAATCAGGCGGTCCCGAGCAGTAGCCATTCACGCAATTCTCGTAACAGGTGCGCACACAGGAGAGTCTGCCATCACCAATATAACCTCGTCGGCAGTGGCAATTGTATGAGCCGTGCGTATTGGTGCATTTAGCCTCTTTGTGACAATCGTGCAACCCCAGACCGCACTCATCCACGTCCGGACACTGCGCATATGCCCACTCGGCATCATGCTGCGTTGGACTATTCAACGCCAGCGAACAGTTGCCGAATGGCCGACTAAAGTCGCCTCGCATGCAAACACCTTCGATTGGATTGTCGCGGTCAAAGCACCAACCACAGCTAAGTGTACGTAGACAGGACGAACAGTTGTTAAACAGAGCGCAGGATTTACATTGTGCAGCGGGTTGTTTTTGTGGAAATTTCGGCAGGTGTTGTATGGTCGTGGATGTACCGCCGCGACCGACGGGTCCAAAGTCCGTTATACGCTGTGTATCGTTGGCAATTATTTGATCAAGCCACTCGCGGCACATGCCGAACTGATATTCGCTGGTGTAAACGGCAAAACTAAAACACTGCGCGCTTGCTTCACACCACACGCAACGGCCGCGCTCATTCAGACATTGATCACATGATGTACGCAGGCGACACGGCACGGGACACATGGACGTGTTGCGCACGCCATGCTCCGATTTACCAAAGCGCGCACAGCGTGCCTCCTCTGTCCACCATTCGCAAAGGCCTGATGTGACGCACTCATCGCAAGACACATAGTTGGAACAGTTTGCACACTGACTAGGCTGTGTAATGAGGTACTCCCAGTAGGCGCCTCCTTTGGTAAGCGCCGTATCGGCGGTGCGCTTGCAAATTTCCGTTTCGTTAACAGTCTTATCGACGCATGTCGAGGTCAGGCCGCACCAACCGCACGAGGAATCGGTTAAACAGTGCAGACAGTTGGTGTATTGGCTACAATTTCCCGAGTAGTAAGGCTCTAGATATTCGAAGGTGAAGGCATTTAGATTGCCATGATAAATGTGTTGCAATTCCATTCGGGTCTTTTGATAGGCATTGTATGAATTAGAGTAACTGACGCGCCGGCGCGCTTGAAAGTCAATCAGAAATGGCTGATCGGTACTGGGTATCTCGACAGGTCCACAATATGTTTGATTTGTAGAACGACTCGTCAATTCCTTAAGTGTGTCTAAGCTTTTGCTCAAACCTGCTCGCAGGATCGCGGTGGAATAACTAGTGCAGACCTGAAATTAAGAAATATTATAAACTTCTATTTAAAAAGTTTCAGCGCGTCATATACTCACTTGTATTTCGGACGGTTCTTCCCAAGTTTTTTGCGGTCGCACAAATCCGAGTAGACGCGCCAACATTTCGCCCTCCAACTTTTGCTCATATTGAGTAGCTGGCGGCGGGGAACCAAAGTCAACCATTGTCGCATTGACTATAGCAACAAAATCGGGCATTGTCATGTTGACAGGATGATGATATTTAATGTATGTAAGACCCGGACGTTTGTCATTGCTGGTGCATTGTGAGGGGTTACGTATTTCAGTGCCCTTTTCACCCCACCAACCCGGGCTGTGTGAAGGTGTGTCCTCACCGCAAATACCGTAGTTGTCATCACGATGATGACATTTTGCATTCTGCACACACCAAGTGCATTCATTGAGTCCCAATTTGCTCGCGACAGAGAAGTAATGATCCGTTTCGGAGTGCCACTGTGTGCCATGCACAAGGCAAGAATGGCAATCGCCCAGCGAAGGGCATATACCGGGGCAGCGTGTGGTCTGCAAGTTTGTGGTGCAATTCGCGCCAATGGTACGTCCATAACAACTGCTATCAGCTGAGCACCAACCACATTCTGGATTCGACAGGCAAGCTGTGTGTGAGGTATGTAAACGACAAGACATTTCTGGGTTATAACCGTGATTTTGTACACGTAATACTTGTGGCAGTTCGTAGGCAAATAGATCGGCATTAACGTTTCCATGATAGCCTCCAACAATTAGTAATGTGTTATTACGTCTGAGTGCAGCAGCATGTGCAAACACACCCTGCTTCTTCGGATACAAGCTGTCTTCCGCCGATACTACTTGGTTTATCCAAATATGACAGCTGAGATGATACCAATACATTTGATTATCATAGCAGATCTCATCTTTATTATGACGATGTGTGTAGCCACCAAAAACGATCATATAGTTGCCCGATATGGTGGCGGAATGAAAAGCGCGTTCGTGTGGAATGTTTGTGTCACGTAGGGCAGTGCGTGGATAAAGTATTTCAGTCCAATGTAATTTATCTAATTGGAATGCAAAAATTCGATCTGATAGCTTTGAGAAACGAGCCAAGCTTGACATAATGCCGCCAAAAACGATTAGAGAGTTTGTTGCGCTATAGTAAACCGTGCTGTGTGCTGCCAAACGCACGTCCAAAGATTTACCACCGCGGGGATGAACGAATTCCCATTGTCCATCATCGTCATTATCGTCTTCATCCTCGGAATTGTCGTTTCTAGAGCCCGAGCTGTTGAATTCATCATCATCATCATCACCAATGGGACGATCAATGGGTTTAATTTTGTTGTAAATAGGCAAGCGTATGCGATATACACTGAAAAACAAATAGACAAAATTTAATTCCTTAGTTAACTGCTCCAAAATTTTCTAGACTTACTTCGATGAGAATTCTCCCGTTTCAAGACTGCCGCCAAACAAATATAAATATTCGCCAGCTAATGTAATCGTATGACGCGCTACTTTCGGCGGTTTCAGTTTAGACTTGCGCGCCCATTGCTTCCACTTACCACCGCTCTCTGTGCTGTTGTAAAACCATAAATCATTGAAAAAACTGCCATTTCCATTTTTGCCGCCAAATATAACAAATCCACCTATTAAATGCACATAGATATATTGAAATTGTGAAGTCATTGCGGCCGGACGTGTTTTGTCTACGCTCGAGAGTTTAATACTGTTTCGGTGGCATTTTAAATAAAAATTCTTGGTATTGNATATATGCATTTTAAAGGCCAAATTTCAAACATAGACTGACCATTCAATAATTGTTTAAGTTTTTGTCATACTCAACTCATTATATATTATAATTATTTTTATTTTTATTATTATTTTTGTTAAGGTATCTGTAAAGTAATATTTACTTATTCTTCACACTATCTCTGTTGTACTAAAAAAGATATGGAAATCTTATTGTACTAATGCTTTGTTATTATTATTAAATAAATAAATAAATAAAAAAATAAAAAAATATTTACTATTAAAACTTTTACCTGGCACATGATCTGCAGCGTGGCCGTAACGGCCTTCAGGTTTATGATCTGTAACCTCTTCCAAAATGTCTTCGAAATATTCAGGAATTTGTTCGTTTGTATCGTTAGCGTTAACATCGGCAATCAATTGTGATGAACGTGTGCGTCTTTGATGCAAATTTGATTCTGCTAACGTATATAAAATATTTCGGAAGAACGATACATCACTACGTAAGCCCCAAAGCTTTGCTTCATCTTCACTTTTGTGCTGTAAAACTGCTTTGAGTAAAGTTGCATTTATTTTTTGTGAGTAATTGTGATCTTGCAATAGTAATCCCCATTCGTCCACCCATTGACTGCTTCCGAAACGATATATCTGAAAAAAATAATTGTTTTTTATGCGGTCAAAACATTTTTAAGATTTCAACTTACTTGCAGAGAATCGATAACATTATTCAAGTCATAGCCTCCAAAAACATAAAGAGCATCTTGTTCTTCCAGATAAACGGCAGTGTGTGCTGCACGCGGTGCCATGCCCTCCGCGTCTGTCGCTAACCAGCGCCAATTACCCCCTGGTGGATTTATATACAAGTCGCATAATCGGCCACTGAAACCCTAAGTTTAGCAAAAAATTTTATTATACTATTACAGACGTTTATTTGTATTTAAAATTAGCAAGTTGGCTGTGTAAATTCACACTGTACGATAGATGTGCGTGTATACTTGTATTTTTATTCATATTAATATATACTCTTAATTTTCGCTTACCTTTTCACAATGGCATATACCTTTGACGCATTTACCACGCCCATGCGACTCACCGCACTTATTTGGACATGCCTCGTCCTCACAGTCCGGTAACACCCATTCCCCATGACATACGCATTGATGACCAACACATTTCCCATGGTTGTGACAATTATTTAAGCAATTTGATATGTAATATGAAGCTCGAAAACCATCAAGTACGTAATTAGTGTCACTATACATTAATATCAACATCTGAATCGAAACGAAAACAACGGCTTAAATGAAATTTGAAAAGTTGAATTAAAAAACAAAAATCTTACACTTCCACTCCTTGCAACCAAACGTTGGGGTTGCGTTCGTCCACTAAAGCTGCCTAATAGCGTTGAGTTGAATGAATCTCCATCATACACATATATGTAATCATATGAGCACTCAGTACCCATGCTATGGAAGGTAAGCGTTATAAATTGACTGTCATTGCGTGCTTTTATTAACCACTCGCAGTGCGAGTCCTGTGTGTAATTGAAACCAGCTGGACCATCACTGATTTCTCCGTATGGTTCGGTGAACACCTTACGACTACGATCGCATGGTGCATGATGTTGTAAATGCGGAGCTGCAGGTAGTAGTGTTATTCGATCAGCCTGTGTCTCCAAACGTTGATTTGAACAGACACAGAGCAAAAATGCTAAAGTTGTTAATGTGCGTAAGCGTACGAATGCTGCTATTCTTATACTTAGCATTTTGTATGCTTATGAATATTAATTACACATAAATTAACTTGTAATTACTTAAAATATTCAACGCCATTTCACATGGGTAGTAAGCGCCTGAACGCTATTCCATTGAAATATTAGAAAGTAATCTATTTAAATCTTAATATTTAACTATTAAAGAATTACTTAATATTATCACTTTCAGCACTTTTTCACTTAATGAATTTTCAGCAAAAATATTATATTTTCGTACACGAAAGGCTGATGAAAATTTTTTCAGACGTCAAAACAACTTTTGGAGTTGTTGACATTTCAATTGTAACCTACAACTCCAAAAAGCCATTCACAGTGTAATAATGTACCGTAAGTTATACAAGCTTTGCTATTATAAAATGTGGGTTTTCTTTCTAACTGAGATGTAATGGAATGTTGAACTAGTTTCAAATATAGAAGAGCGTGAATAAACTTGAAAACTAGGCCGAGAACTGAGAGGGGTTGATTGAAATGTTTCCCTATAGCCATGTAACGTCGAGGGGAGGAGAATAGAACTACGAAGTTTTCTACAAGTGACACAATTATTTAATATAACTTAACAAACTGCCCTTAATAAATGATTTCTTAACTGTTACTTAATATTTCATATTAGCAGAAAGACAATAAACCGGCGTAGTGAAGCCGGATATGAAAATTCATGCCAATACATACTGACCGCATAAACGAATATAATATTCAAGAAACCTTCCCGAAATGTTGAAAATTCTCGGCAATTGATATACTATCAGTGTTCTGAATGCGTTACTTTGCCAAAATATATTCGGATTTCGCACATCCGGCAATTGGTAAGATAATATTAGAGCTGTTTCATTGATTGGTGACTATATAATATCTTTAATTGGCGCTCTGCAACCGCTGAAGCGATTTTCGGCCGTGCTCTTCCTCTTTTGTGCTTTTCCGTCTCGATGTTTTCAAACAAATGGAGAGACTTCCGGTTTATACTAAGCCACCTCCGAACGGCTGATGTTTTTTTATGAGGAACGTTGCTTCATGTCAGAAATACACTTGGAATTGATGCCTATAGATATAGGCAATTTAAAAACATGATATATAATAGTTTTATCTTTCGAAAGAAATAATAATAAAATACTTTTTTTTTCTCCAATCGCAGAATGCTTTTATAATAAATCAAATTAACTATGTAATAATTTTAAAAGTTTCGAAGCTTTCATTGATTTTCTGACAGTTTTCGCAAAAATAACAACTCTGTTTCGACCGCCTGCCTGCCCTTGTAATGACATTGAATCAACTAATAAAAAGTTTGGCCATCCCGGTAACCAGTAGGTGTATTTTTCCAATTCGTCGAGCTTTTAAATCCAACTCAAATTTTGGTAATTATATTCAAAAGAGATTATCAGCTAGTGATAAAAAAGGAAAAAATAAAGGCGGTAAAATGGCTTTCAACAAATTAAGTATTGAAAGTTTGGATTTGAACGGCAAACGTGTCTTGATGAGGTAAGTGGTTTTGTAACAACAAATTGATTAGAATTGCATAAAAGTGTTTTTCAGAGTGGACTTCAATGTTCCCATCAAGGAAGGTAAAATCACAAGCAACCAGCGTATTGTAGCTGCACTGGACAGTATTAAATACGCTTTGGACGCAAAAGCCAAGTCAGTCGTAAGTGATTTTAAAATTTTTTCATGCACACACTTATTTATAAGCATGCATACACAATTTCATAAATGTTTTTGATTTTTTGCAGGTGCTCATGTCGCATTTAGGTCGGCCTGATGGACAAAAAAATCAAAAATACACCCTTGCACCAGTAGCTGATGAGCTGAAAACACTACTTGGTAAAGATATCAAGTTTTTGCCCGATTGCGTTGGACCTGAAGTAGAAAAAGAATGTAAAGATCCAGCACCCGGCACTATAATTTTGTTGGAAAACTTACGTTTTTATATAGAAGAAGAAGGAAAAGGTCTTGATGCTAGCGGGGCAAAAGCTAAGGCTGATCCAGCTAAGGTTAAGGAATTCCGCCAAAGTCTGGCTCAACTTGGAGACGTTTATGTAAACGATGCTTTCGGAACTGCTCATCGTGCTCATAGCTCGATGTTGGGCGAAGGTTTCGAAAAACGCGCTGCCGGTTTTCTTTTGAACAAAGAGTTGAAATATTTTGCCCAAGCTCTAGATAACCCACCGCGTCCATTTTTGGCAATCTTGGGTGGCGCTAAAGTTGCCGACAAAATTCAACTGATTTCAAACTTGCTGGACAAGGTCCATGAGATGGTGATTGGAGGTGGTATGGCTTTTACTTTCTTAAAGGTCATCAATAATATGAAAATCGGTGCTTCATTATTTGACGAAGAAGGTTCTAAAATCGTAAATGATTTGGTTGCAAAGGCAAAGAAAAACAATGTTCAGTTACATTTGCCTGTCGATTTTATTTGTGCAGATAAATTTGCTGAAGACGCCAAAACTTGCGAAGCTACCGTTGAAGACGGTATTCCTGATGGTTATATGGGTCTAGACATCGGACCAAAATCTAGGGAATTATTCAAAGAACCTATCTGCCGTTCAAAAATTATCGTATGGAATGGGTAAGTTACATTATTGTATTAAATTTTTTTGTATGTTTAATAATTAATATTTTAATTATTTTATATTAATTTCTAGTCCACCAGGAGTGTTTGAATTCCCTAACTTTGCTAACGGAACTAAGGCTGTCATGGATGCTGTAGTTTCTGCTACTGAAGGCGGTACTGTCTCTATCATTGGAGGAGGAGATACAGCTTCTTGCTGCGCCAAGTGGGGTACTGAATCGAAAGTATCACATGTTTCAACCGGAGGCGGCGCTTCCCTTGAGTTGCTCGAAGGCAAGACACTGCCAGGCGTTGCTGCTTTGAGCAATGCTTAAGATGTTTATTATATTTGCAAAAAGCACAAGATATATATATATATATTAAGGAGCTATATAAATGTATGCCCAGGACAAAGCAAATTTGTTAAACCATAGAAATGCTGTTTATTTACTAAGGATTTTATTAATTTGTTGAAAACATGATATCATAATCCGTTTAGATGTTCAGTAAAACTAGCTGATAATCAAAAAAAAAAAACTTTATTTTCTAAGTTTAAGAACTTTATTTTTCGATAACGCTAATTATTTTCTAAAATTTAAAAAACTTAATTTTTAGATAACGCTAATAATTTTCTAAGTTTAGAAAACTTAATTTTTAGATAACACTAATAAGCTTTGGGAGTAAGCCAACAGATGAGCTTACTTTTTCGTAAAATTGGAGTTCATTGCCGCTGAAGTGCGTTGTATATTGTTCAAGTTCGAACGGATTCGAGAACCAATTGAGGACTGAGTCGCAATAGCCTTCTTTACTTCTTTGTTAATAAATTCCTTGTCGAAATCTTGATTTTTATACAGTTCCTCTTCGCGAGCATTGGCCTCACGATGCTTTTGTACTGATTTTACACGGTCGTTCTCCCTCCAATTTGCATTTTCCATCATTTCGCGAAGACGCTCTTCCTTTTCAGCATCACTTAATTTTTTATGCGTAGCAATACTTTGACTCTGTTTCGACCGCGAATTTAGCTCGCTTTTTTCCTTACTATCACCAGATCTCTCCCGTCGAAGTGGCGAATGCGAGCTATTACGCAGGGGTTTTGAAAGGTTTCTTCTTTTTGGATGATTAGGTGATCGGGTTCGGGACCGTTGCCGGTTCTGACGATCTCTAGACGATCGAGAACGCGACCTATGTTGTCGTTGCCTTTCGGGTCCTTTATGACCTTCCTGTCTAGATCTATTATCAGAGTTGTCATATCTCTTACTGTGGTTCCTACTAGCTGAACGACTTCTACGGCGCCCTTCGACTAATTTATTATTTTCTTTTCTTGCCCTTTTGTCATCTTCCTTCCATCGATTTTCATATTTCTTATTACGATCCCTACTTTGTGAACGACTTTCGAGATACTTTTTGGAATTATGGGATTTCCGCGTGATATCTCGTTCTACAGAAGGAGAGGTAGAGTATTGACGTTTACGCGGTTCATCGGGAGATCGTGTTAGAGAACGGCGGGGCTTATAATTGTTATTAGGTGATCTTGAATGGGAAGTACGTAAGCGCTTGTGTTCATAACTTTCCTTGGTTCTGTTTTCTCGTTCTGTTGAGCGATTTCTTTTGTTATCGTCACTGCTGCTTGAGCGATCTCTACGAAAGTTTTTACGTTTACTTCCTGCCGCTTTGTCTAACTCCTTTGTAAGTGTTTCAAATTTTGCTTCCAATAACTTCGATAAATTTAAACCTGAGAAATCTTCTTCCTTGTTAAGTTTTTTATATCGCTTAGCTAATTCTTTATCCAAATCCCTTGCATTATCATTATCTGACTCAGAATCAGACGAACCATTATTGGTAGAAGATTTGGAATGTTTCTTATGTTTCTTCTTTGATTTTTTAGATTTTTTTGATTTTTTAACCCGTTTAGGCTTTTTCAGCATTTCATCTGTTTTCAGAATACGGTGAAGTTCCTTTAACTTAACCGGGTTCTCCAGTAGTTTTTTTCTTGATTCCATTTCTCGTTGTTTGATTAACATCAAAGGATCTTCCATAACTTTCCGCTGCAAATCTACCTGCTCAGTAGATTCCATATTGCGATAAGCTCGTATCGAAAACGGTATACATTCATGCTCAACATGATTAATGGATTGTTTTACACCAACCATATTTTGATCTTTTCGTTGCTCTTCGGCATGTAATACCTCAAAAGATTTATCAATGGTTCTACCAAGAAGGTATTCATCCCGATTTATAAGCTCGTTACTGTCTGAAAAAAAGTAAATAAAACATATTTTATTCAATTGTAGTATTTCATTTCATTATTTTAAATAAAGTTAATAAAAAAATTTTTTTTTTCAGATTATGTTTCATTTTGCATACTTACTTTTGTACATCCATTCCAACTTTTTATCTTCCTGTGGTAAAACGCCAGAGCTTCGACCGATATGTTTAAGTTCTTCTCGTGTTTTTTCTTCTTCGATTTCTCGACGTAAATCTTTGAGCTTCCTATCCTCTTGTGACTTGGCTTGCTCAGCTTTCCATACTTTTTCCTGGTTCTTCATCGTTTGCGGATGCCAGGATTTCTTCAAATTCTAAATTGAGACAAAATTTAAATAATTATTTGGCTGCCTTAAATATAATAAATAAATAAATTAAATAACGTTGAATAACAAATTACCAAATCTCCGCCTCCCATTTTGTTACTGCTCCCACGGTGTTTTTTCTTGAAACTAAATTGAAAATGCTCGTAACACCCTTTTTATACACATTCGAAGTCCTGAACGAATGTTTTGTAAGCAGGCAAACAATAGAAAAAATATGGTACTTAAGTAATTTTCACGCTAATTAAACGCATCGCACTATGTTCTGCCTGAGTGTAAACAATTTAAACAGCTGATTTTGTTCACAATGAACATAGCTGTCATTCAACCCACAAAGTAATTTATTGTGAATGTAACGTTTTTAAAATAACTGTGAATTTATAGATCTGCCATCTTACCAAAGAACGTATATTAATTAATATACGTTCTTTGCTACTAACATCAATATCCTCTGGTTAAAATTAAAAAAAAAAGCTTTGAATAAGTGAAACACAAAACAAAGAAGTACGTTCATGACCTTAATTATTTTTTATTTGCAGCAAAATATTTTTTTTTTCAATTGTAGTATTTTAAATTATTATATCATATTTTTGAAATAAAAGTTAATATTATTCAAAATTGGAGCTTATTGTTTAAACTAATTCAGCGGCAACCCATTATACCCCCACGAGGTGGTCCAGCTGATTGCCGAAGCTGGTGGGGTAGGCTAGTGGGACAGTTATTAAACATTTGCGAAATCGGGCAGTTTTTTGCAGTATTGGATTTTGTGTCGTTGCCTACGTGCGTGTTTTTCAATTTTGCAGCCGGTACACATTCAAGGCATTTAAGAGTACGCTTTACGAAAATCGAAAATTTATACAATTAAATCGATACAAAAGAAGTGTTTTAAAATGGCAAATATTAGCGGAAAAACGTTATTGTCAGCAAATCGTGCTTTTGGAGCAGCATTAAATGTGAACGCGGCCCGTACACAGTAAGCAATTGAGTTTTCGATTAAACTAGAACATTTACTATGTATGTATGTATGTGTATAGATTACTTGTGTGTACATCCGCTTCGTAGGGGAGAATATATTCTATTTAATGAAAAGTATAAGTCATATACACTTATGTATGTACACATGTTGTGGGTTTTAGTGTGATAAAGTAATTTTTTGTTAATAAATAGTCTATTTTCAATTATTACTTACAACCAACGTGCAATCGGGCCTTAACCGCCTAACCTGTGCTGTAGCAGATGTCATTACGCAAGGTCATTCAATCATCTAGCATATTTATCTATTCAATTTCACACATTTCTTATGTCGGTACATAGCCATGCCCACGTATTTACAAATTTACTTTCTTAATTTCGCATATCGGTGCATACGTATGATCATACGTATGTATGTATGAAATTATAATATGTGTTTTTATGTGCACATAGTCACGTACATATGTACATATCTACATTGGGTGAAATTTTAAGCTATAAGGAAAAGATATGGGAGGCCCGGTAGTGTGCTAAAACTATTGAATATATTCGAAATTTTTAGGGAACTACTAGAAATATTTTGGTATTTAAGAAATTAGGTTTTTTTTGTTTACAATATTGTTGTTGTTGTTATATTGGCTTTACAGGCACAGTTACAACAATTCATTATAGTAAATTTCATCTGGCGGCGTGCAATGACATTTTTGTACTTATTTCATCTCTACGTATGTATGTATGTATGTAAGTACATATTTTTATCAGGTGGATATTTGCCCATAGATATAATACGAAAATTAAATGCGGGTGTCAGCTTTGCGCGTGTACTACATAAATCAATTTCAAGTAGTTTGAGCACATTATCATAGCTTCATATTCACGGTATGCAGTTTGGTTGGGTAATAAATTAGGTTTCAGCAGAAAAACGCTTGAATTTATTTACGTGCTTACTACATACTTATACTTTCTACTACATACGTACTTACATGTGTATGTTGGTATGTAAGTAAATTGTTCTACAAGAGTAATTACAATAAAGGATTTCACAAGAACCCTAATTATCGCATAGCAACACAGTTGTTGTTGTTGTTGTAGCGGTTCGCTAACCCCGCTTAGGCACAGGTTTGATCAGTCTAAGTCGCCGATGTCATCTAGTGCATAGCAACACAGTAAAACGCCGTGCTAGTTTTCAGATAATAGCCTGTTCTGTTAGAAATGTCAAAAATCCGCATTGGGTTAACAGTAAAAATTGGTAAAAATTAAGTTACCAAGTTAAACAAATTATTTTTATTTTAAGACATAACGACAAATTATATATTTACTAACTGCTTGTGAACTCCCTTAATATGTGCATTAAGGTCGACCAATACAAAAAATACTACAAATCTACATACATACATACATAAAATAAATGAGACTTACAGCCCTATTCTCACTGTAACCACTAAAGTAAATTTTGTTATTTATTTTAACACCCGAAATTGAATTTGGTATTCTGGAGAAATAGGCTTTGGCAGCACTGCTTTTTTCGTCCATGTCAAATTACATTTGCCAGTTGGTGTAGTGAAAAAGAAGAATATTCACATCGAAATGGAAGACGGTGCACAGCGAAATAAATTAATTTTTTTTTATTGGTTTATTAAATCATAAATATTTGAATCTAATTTTGAAAAATATACCTAAACGACAGAAAAGAGCTGTAAGAAAACGCTACATTCCAAAATAAAAGGGTCATTTTTTTCGCAACTTCCTAGCATACGCCTTTTTACACTTTTTTCTTCTACTTCAATGAATTCCAGGCCTAAAATATGCCTACCCTTTTTGGTTTTTATTTGTTCTCAAACTAACAATACAAAATCAAACAGTCGATTTCTTGTTACCTCCTATTTCGCTGGTAACAAAATTTAATGGGTGACAGTGAACTCAGAATACGAAAAAGTAACAAAATTTACAGAAGGGTAAATTTTAAAACCAAAGTAAATTTTGTTACCTAAACAGAATAGGCCTGTTAGAAACATATTTAATGATGACCTAAAAAAATACTCCACCCTAATGAAAGTAAGTACGTTATGTTTGTTAGTATAACTAGCATTAACTCTTATTATATTATATAATGAACGCTGAAAACATTGTTAATGCATATTTAAGTCTCCGGGATAAATCGTTTACTTAAAATTGTTTTGTTCTCATAAATACATTATTGAGCACTTCAAACTTTGTCGAGTAGTACATATAGGTACATACATATGTACATACCAAGAAAAGGTTAGTCAAGAAGGAACAATATTAAAGTTGAAAAAATATTAACGTCGGCAAACCATCACATTGAGCGCGTAAAAAAAAGTACCAGTAGGTACCTAAATGTTTGTATGTATATATGATAATACAATAGATAACATGAACTGATTGCCTGAATAAACCCCGTTAGAAAAAAATAAATAAAAATAAAATCACCAAGGTCATTAATTTAGACAAATTTTCAGTACTATGCATATACATATATATACATACACATGTATATGTATGTATGCACATATCATCTATTTTCCAAAAGCTACAACGGCGGCCGGCATTGCGTAGTGCCATGCTAAAGGCCATGATTCGAGTCCTGGTTTGACCAACGTTCGAATTAATTTTTCTAACCGCTTCAGCGGTTACAAAGCGCCAATTATACAACAGAAAATATGAAAAAACTTCGGATGTTCATTACGTACGTACTTAAAAAAAATGCCAACCGGATGACAAATGTTTCCCAAAATTATTTATTTACATACATATATACAAAACAAAAAAAAATAAAATTGAAAAAAAAAAAAATTTTCGGCATTTTTTTCATCTCGTGAACTAAATACGTTAGATAGGTATGCATGTATGTACATAAAAATACACACACAGACATATATATATATATATATATATATATTAAATTGTATAAGTTTGAACAAGTGTATATATTATTGATGTTGCTATTTTTAAATAGCTCCGCGTAAATTGTATGTTTTATTTATTTCTATACATACGTGTATGTATATATTTATAATATATTTGTCAACGTCATCAGTCCAGTTCACGGGACTTGATAATCAATTTAGTTGCCCATGGCAATGAATATTTTGCATTTTCACGATTTTAAATAATTTGTGTTCAAATGAGTTAATTTCATAAATTTAAAATTGTGAAAAAATATGTATGTATGTATGTGTATAAATAAATATTGAAAAACCATTGTTATCAGCGTGATTAAGGAATAATCATTTTGAGTATGACAATTATTCACATTTGTGTGTACATTATATGCACATATTTATGCACGTATATGTATGTACATATGTACATACATATGTGAAAATATGAATATAAAAAATAATTATTAGTTATCACTTTTAATCGAATTAATTTACGTCAATTACGCCATAAATAGTATTTTTTAGCAAAAGAATTTCGGAACTTAAAAACACAAAAACTAAAGAAAACTTTGTTTATATTTATTGCAAACAAAAAGTATAATATATATGTACACGTACACATTACATTTAATCACACAAATAAAGAAAAATTTGTTATTGCTAACAGAAATGATCTGTAACATGATGCGGTCATAATATTGTCGCAAATATTTACATTATACTATTCACAATATTAATATAATAAAGACGAATAGATTGAGAGCACCAACTCTCACAAGAGTCACTTCATTCAACCGTTAGTTGTGTTACTCATTTGAAGTCCTTGCTTCGCTGACTCTTCTTTTGGCCATCGCCCACTCAACCGACCCGAAAATTAGTGACAGTGTGGACTATCATTACACTGAGACTGTCGCGTAAATATGTCCATAACACTTGTCTCTCAAACGGTGGGGCTGTAAATTTGCTTATCAACTGTTATAAATTAGCTCAGAATAAGTATATGTAAGGAAAGCACTGACCTACTTAATAGAGATATTTATATAAGTATAAAAAAGGTTCTCAAAAACTCAAACCTTTCCGGAGATATGAGACGAAAATTGTACCAAGTTATTTATTTAACAACCTAAACATGGTGGCCGCAATATCCTAGGAGTTGTAAAGCGTATTGTCACTCAGAGTCTTTGTCTGATGAACAGAAAAAATAAATGAAATGAAAACCTTCCATTTGTTGGAAAAACTTCAAGACACAAATCCAAAGTGTACACTTGCTACACCGTGGTTAATTTGGCGCAAAAGTTGGTAAATAAAAATAGGTTGAGACTGATCGACTTTCGCCGTGGCAACAAATATGGTTGTTTGTAGTACTAGATTACTAAGAACGAACGTGTTGTGACAGTAGTAAGCAGGACTAGGGATTCAAGCCATGGCTGTCGTAAGAGGCGACTAAAATCCAATAGTTACAGCGACAGTCGAGTCCGTTTTTTTCCGGTAGAGAAAACAAATTTGGGTAAATTTTTTTTGCGGCCACAACAACAACAAAAACTTAGTCGAATGAGCACTTAAAAATTCAAATGAATCCGCATTACAAAGTAGCACCGTTCGAGAAGAGTAATTCTGCGCAAGATTTCCAGATTGACGTTGTTATTGTTGTAATGCTAGTTCCTAGACTGATGGAACCATCTACAACTTCAAAGTTATGGCTGCCAACAGAGACCTGGGTTCAAGTTGAGTTTGCTGACTGTCTGCTTGATGACAGGAGGTATTTTGTGTCGTCCTAGTTTAGTACCAGACCCACACCTTATCCATTCTGCTTGTATTATAGACCTTCCCTGAAAACACGAAATTAAAATTTGATTTCTTTTTTACATTCTTATCTTGCAGTATAAATATTCTGTCGCCAAAATGGAGTTAAACTACTTTCTTTTTAAAGACATAACTGCATTTGATTTTAACATTACATGCACATAGTGATAAAAATGAATGTCTATTCTCTTCTCTCCCCACAGATCATGGTTTGCTGGCGTGCAAATGGGCCCACCCGATGCTATTTTGGGTGTAACCGAAGCCTTCAAACGCGATACAAATCCCAAAAAAATTAACTTGGGTGTTGGTGCTTATCGTGATGATAACGGTAAACCATGGGTATTACCAAGTGTACGTAAAGCTGAGGAACGCATTGTCGCCAAGCAATTGGATAAGGAATACGCAACCATCATAGGCGTACCAGACTTCTACAACAAAGCAATTGAATTGGCGCTTGGCAAAGACTCTGAACGCTTGCGTGAGAAACACAATGCCACCACACAGGTAAAATAAAGCACAATAATGGTGAGAAGCTCTCCTCTAAATTTGAAACTCTAACCTTACTTTACAGTCTATCAGTGGCACAGGTGCACTCCGTATTGGCGCTGCATTCCTCAGCAAATTCTGGCAGGGCAACCGTGAAGTGTATGTGCCCACACCCACTTGGGGCAATCACGTGCCAATTTTCGAGCATTCAGGTCTGCCCGTGAAGAAATACCGTTATTATGATCCTAAAACCTGTGGTTTGGACGTAAAAGGTTGCTTTGAAGACATCAGCGTAAGTTTAATTATTAATTGATAATTATGCTTTAAACTCTTTACGAACTCGTTAAATTACAGAAAATTCCCGAGAAGTCCATCGTTCTGCTGCATGCCTGCGCGCACAATCCCACTGGCGTCGATCTATCGGCGGAACAGTGGAAGGAGCTCTCTCAATTGATAAAGAAGAAGAACTTATTCCCCTTCTTCGACATGGCCTACCAAGGCTTCGCCTCCGGTGATGTGGATCATGACGCACAGGCCGTGCGTATTTTCGAAAAGGATGGGCACTTGTACTGTTTGGCCCAGAGTTTTGCAAAGAATATGGGTTTGTACGGCGAACGTGCTGGCGCCTACTCAGTCATCTCTGCCAGCAAAGAGGAAGCCGATCGCGTTATTTCACAAATTAAAATCCTCATTCGCGCACTCTACTCGAATCCGCCCATAAATGGTGCACGTCTTGCCGCTGAAATTTTGAATGATCAAGAGCTGAGAGCTATTTGGTTGAAGGATGTGAAAACAATGGCCGATCGCATCATCAATATTCGCGCACAATTGAAAGGCAACCTAGTGAAGTTGGGTTCATCGCGTTCGTGGGATCACATCACAAACCAAATCGGTATGTTCTGCTACACAGGCATGACCGCCGAGAACGTTGAACGTTTGTCCAAGGAGTTCAGCATTTATCTGACCAAGGATGGCCGCATTTCGATGGCTGGTGTGACCAGCAAGAATGTTGACTACTTGGCTCATGCTATGCATGAGGTTACCAAGTAAACACGATTAACCTGAGAATTCAATCAGATACAGTTGATCTATTGAATTCTATAATTTTAATGCACTTTGAAGCAAGCAATACGGCCTGGCTGCCGGTAAAATCGACACTTTTATTAGAATTTTAATGAGTAATAGAAAAGCAAGATCCTTTAGTTTAGTTAATTAAACCAGAGGAGAATCATGTAACTTGTACTACATTGAGTACCTACAGAGGCGTTTATATTCGCCAAAAACAATCAATAGAATGTAATCGTAAAAGTAAAAGCATTTAAAATACTGAAAATAAAAGAAATATATACACATATGTAAAAATATATTGAGATTCATACAAAATCGTTATTAGTTTATTATTTAACTTGGAATTAGGATCTTTCTTTCTTGGGCCTTATCGATGTGTCAACCAAAGACCAGATATCCGTCACACACGATATGTTGGAAAAGGCCCATGAGAAAGGAATCTAAGCCCACCGATTTTACAGTAACTTACAATAGTGCGCCTCTAGGTCTGAATTTTGTATCCACTCATCTTCTATGGCTGTGTAAAACTAAGGAAGATCAAAACCGCAAAGAACTTCTTCACTTCTGTCTCTGTCCTTCTCTCTATTTCCCCAACTTAATGGTGGAAATAGAAAAGCTACATTCTTCTATAAGATCTTTCAACTTCTGGCGATCTTCCGCCGCTGATATTAAAATCGGTTTCCACAACTGACACATTAGTTCTGATTTCTCTCGTGCATTTGTTTTTTATCTCTCACTTTCCTGTTGGCGGTCATAACTTTAAAGCCGTAGATAAAGTCGTCTATCTGGAGACCAGTGTCAACAATGACAGACATGAAACCAAGCGCAGAAACCTTCTTACCAAGAGGTGCTTTTCTTGACGGGTTAGGCAACTGAAAAGTAAAATCCTCTCTCGACGTACGAAAATCACGCTCAAGTAGCATACCATTCGCGCCCTACTTTATGGGGTTAAAGCATGGAAAATGACGACCGACTAGCGAAATTTACCTGTTGACCTAAACGGGGTTAGGTCGCCGAAAGGCTAACAGCCCTTGACCGGATAAAATCCGAGTAACTTCGGTGCGTTGAACCGGCTGCCTTGAGAGTCTTGAAAAAAAAAACTCCTACTTATCCAGACTCGACCACAGTATATCCAACGTGCCCTGCATGTGGAGAGTCTCCGCACGATATTAACCACCTCTTCACATGCCCCCTTGGTCCAATCCCGTCGAAACAGCACGTTTCCTGGACCTCCCACTAGATGGCCTCGGCGACTTAGATTAAACAAACTTGTACTTAAGCGAACAGCTACAAAAACAACAACACGACTACCGAAAGGACGGCTTAGCAGTTTTCTGGGAAAAGATTTTGATATTGACAAAATTAAAATAATTACAATTGGTTTGAACATCTGAGAAGGTGAGAGAATCCGGCTGCAGTATTCCGTATTAGAGTGGCTCGAATTTCGTCCCAATTTCGGATGCTCTTGATAAATCCCAGTTTGACCAAGATTAAAAAGAGTTACAGAAAATGAAATTTTTTTGCGGTCGCCTTAATCAGGGAGTGTCAAACTCGCCGAGTGTATTTCTGAAATGAAATAAGGGCTCCTCATAAAAATCTAACAGCCTTTCGGAGGCGGCTTAGTATAAACTGTAGGTCCCTCCATTTGTTGGAGAAATATCAAGACCCAAAACCACAAATTAGGGAATGAGCTCAGCCGGAAATCGTGCAGCGGTTACAAATCGCCAATTATACATATACATATATGCAAAATGTACAATCTCCTTCACAGGCCTAACATGGGTATAACGACAGGCCAGCAGGTCTAAGTGCGCCAGATCAGGATTCTCTAATGTAGCAATCTCATTAACTAACTAACTAACTAAGGTTTTCTCATAGCACCTAAACTTACTTTGATACTATGGCGATCACAATCGTATGATACAGGAGGATCTCGTTTTGATGTGGCTTGTGGCATGTCCTTTGACTTTCAATATTAACTCGACTACTATTAACTCTAAATAAGCCTTTATTTCTTAATACAATCTTCTTTACTTCACCATTGAAGAGTTGCTACTCGTCCAGAGGGAAGGTCTCAAATGGTCCAGCCGCAAACTCAGAATTTCTAGTGTAGCTCATAACGTAAGCGGGGTTTGTGAAGAGTTCTCAAAGCATGGTAAACATTTCTTAGTATGTAGAATCTTGCGTTATTGAAAATGAACTATAATAATTATATGTTATTCCACAGATTTCTCCAATAAGATATCTAAAAAAAAGCCAAACAAATTTATTTCTGGGTCTTTGCGAATTTCAGCTTGACAAAATAAATTTTAAAAGGGAAGGAAAACTTATTTATTAAGTATCATCAAAGAAAAAAAAATATTTTCAAAAGGAAAAAGATGTTGAGTCTTTTGAAAAGCCCTCGAATTCATAAGGCTGGAAAGAATGTAACGGTTTTCGGCACAAATTTATCCGACACACGCTATAAGTAAGTCAAATATTCCCTGGCTAATGCAATAAATAAAGAATGGATATGTACATATGTATGTACGTATGTATTTATATCACAGGTCATGGCTTGCAGGTGTGAAAATGGCACCGCCGGACGCTATACTCGGCATCACGGAGGCTTTCTTGAAGGACGAAAACCCCAGAAAAGTTAATTTAGGCGTAGGCGCATATCGTGATGATGATAACAAGCCATGGGTGTTGCCCAGTGTAAAAGAGGTTTGCAGCTGCGCAATTCCGGGTTTTCTACAACAAATTAATTAATCACTTTCCTCCACCGAAAGGCTGAAAAACGTGTGATTACCCAAAGAATGAATAAGGAATATGCGCCTATACATGGTTTGACAGCGTTTTATAACAAATCCATAGAGCTGGCGTTGGGACCAGATGCAGAAATCTTGATGAATAAACGCAATGCCACCGTACAGAGCCTCAGCGGTACGGGTGCTTTACGCATAGGAGCCGCATTTTTAGGACTCTTCTGGAAGGGTGAACGCATGGTTTATTTACCCACCCCCACTTGGCCCAATCATAGACCAATCTTTATGCATTCTGGACTGAAAGTAGCCAACTATAGTTATTACGATCCGAATACGCGTGCGCTAAATGAGCAAGGTCTCCACGAATCGTTGTGTGTAAGTGCAGGATAATAATTTTAAATGTATATTAAAAATAAACTATGACTTTTAAAAAATTTAGAAAATACCCGAAAAGTCAATTGTATTGCTGCACGCCTGCGCACACAATCCGACCGGTGTGGATCCAACTGAGGATCAGTGGTGTGAGATATCGTGTATAATGAAGGAACGTCATCTCTATCCTTTCTTCGATTTGGCGTATTTAGGTTTCGCCAGCGGTAATATTAACAAGGATGCGTTGGCGTTGCGTATTTTTGCCGCTGACGGACATCAATTTTGTTTAGCACAAAGTTATGCCAAAAATATGGGTCTTTACGGTGAACGTGTAGGCTCACTGACTATCGTTTGCTCCACTAAAGACGAAGCTGAGCGTGTACATTCAAATTTGAAGACGATCATACGTCCAATGTACTCAAATCCACCAGTACATGGTGCACGTATTGCATTAGAGATTTTCAAGGATGATAAACTCTTTTGTTTATGGCTGGAGGACTTAAAAGTTATGGCTAATCGTACAATAGCCATGCGTAAACAGTTGACGGAGAAATTAATTTCACTCGGCTCCACGCACTCTTGGGAGCATATTACCAATCAAATAGGCATGTTTTCTTACACAGGTCTGAAGGCAGAGCAAGTGGCACGCTTAACAAAGGAATACAGTATTTATATGACAAAGGATGGGCGCATTGCTATAGTGGGTTTGACCACGAAGAATGTCGATTATGTGGCTGAGGCTATTCACGCTGTTACGAAATAATTAGTCTAGATTTGATTTCATTGTATTGGTTTATGGTTAAATTAACTTTCAATTAAACTAATGAATATTTAAGTTGTCATGCAAACAAATATTGGTGTTGTTTTTGTTTTACTGAAAATGCATGTAATATTTAAGAAAGTAAAGGTGTTTTAATAATAAAGCAAATCAAGCAAGACTGGTGAAATATGTTGAGAATGTACTTTTTCACTTTTTTCATACGCAGAATCGTAAAATATCGTAAAAATTACACGCTTTCTTGATTCTAAAAACAACGCGTTGATTGGGTATTTTATTACAACATTTTGCACATACATATACATAAACATATGTTTATATAAATATATGTGTGCTATAATTAATAAATTTCTAAGAAAAAAAATTTACATTAACGTTACTTTACAAATAAAATTAAAAAAGTTAAAAGAATTTTCTAATATATCTAAGTAGCACTGCCTCATTTATATGTAAATATTTTTGCATTTAATAGAAACATAAATGTTTAGTTCCTTATATTGCATTATGCGTTCGCATATTTTAATGAAATTTAAAAATACAATACAACATTACATACATACATAAAAATTATATATAAAATATACACACGCGCATATAAAGAAAAAGACAAAAATTATTGAACTAGCTATTAGTATAGGCTCTCGAAGTTAATATTACTAACTATAAATGTAAATACATTTATATTAAATCTATATATATATATATGTATATATATGCATATGCATTATTTACGGTCATGGTTTATTATAACGATATCTCAATTTTTCCGAAGGTTCACAGTATTCTTTGATAATCAATTTACATAGGAACGCATGAAATACTATAATTATTGCACAAACTGATACCCAAAAAAGTGTAGGCAAACCGCCTAACTGATGGCCGTGTCTGTGAAGAGCAATCAAATGTTGCTCGTGCGCAGGCGCTGTAAGAGAGTAAAAGTTTTAGTTTGAAAATTAATATTTCATTTAAGTAGCATTACCTTCCACGACCTCTTGAACATGTATAGCTTTATGTAGTTCCTCCATATGCTGTTTATCTTCGGTAATGTAGAGAATCGCTGTAACCGGTTCGGTTAATTTTACGGGAAATTGACGACGACTTTGACTAAAATAAATAATTTAAAAAAATATACATATTTATTTATAAGTACTCAACATTTTTTAAACACTCACGTTAGCAAAACCGGCTCATCCAAACAACCGCCATCACACGCATAATAACTACGATCTGAACGATCAAGCGCCACATTAATTACCGCCTTATTATCTTCCGTGACAGTGATAGTGACATTCACATGCGTTTTATTGCCGTAATTCAGACGTCGGAAATGAAAATCTCGATGTAGATACTTGGGATGCATATTGCACTCCAAGTGTTGATTGCTAAAACGAAAACTGCCAAAACTCAAGACCATAGCTTGGATAACACCTGACGCGCCAGCACGTATAAGATTGTGGCAACCCTGGAAGCCGTTTTATTTGTATTAACTTAAATTTCATAGGTAATAAATTAAAATTTACCTGCTTCTCCAAAGTAACCATCCAAGATGATACCAAATTATTTAACTTTTCCAGTGTGTTCGCACTGCGCCAAAGGTTTTCAGCTTGCAGCGTGTAATATGAGTCGTAACAACCTTCAGCATAAGTCAATGCCTTAGCAATTTCCTGCTTGCTAGGCGATTTTAGTGATGCATATTCTTCATATTCGTAGCTACGTGTTTGTGAAAGTACGGCATACATAGATGCATTGATACGATCACCATTCAAACTGTTCTCCGCCTTAGATGTACTAATGCTGAAACCAGTAGCCCACAAATCGGACCAAACGTTAATGTGCTCCTGATGAAATGCATGTGGATTGGGTTGTTGTTCGGCTTTGTTTTGTAACTTTTGTAAAACTTTTGTCATAGCTTGTATAGCCTTGTTTTCTATATCCTGTGCTGTCTCCGACAACTTGTCGCGCTTTATTGGTTGTGAATAATGTAAAGCGATAGGATATACTATATTGATAGCACCGCGCTTCTTCAGTTGAATAATGCGACTCAGTTGCGGCTTAACAACGCTTACTACTATAACACTAGAGGGATCATCTGCATTTACTGAAATAGTGCCAGTGCTTACTTCAAACTCCTTAAGTATGGCGGAGGCTGGAGTTGAGGAACTGTAAGAAGATTCATATATGGATGTTTTAAGCAAATATAACACCAACGGGAAACATTATAACAACATTTTATTACAAATTATATTTATACATATGTAAACGATTATTGTCAAACTTATTCAGGTAATTATATAATACTCTAATCGCTATATACAAGAGAAGTTAGAGCAACTAATTGTCATTATCTAATACACAAAACGGTTTAATATCGTATGTATGTATATAACACAAATGTGTTTGTTGTACAATTTTTTATACATACCCCAATTTTATCACATGTGACGCTGGTGACTGAAAATAAATACGTGGAAAAATAAGTTCCACTTCTTCTATCGTATTTCGAGTATTAGTAATTTTAATTTCTTGCATTAGAATGCTAGGATGCGTTCGGTGCGCATAGTAAGTGTATGCGACGAAATAATTTGAAAAGCATTGAAATCTGCAAAGATGTAAATAACAAATGCACAATAATTATATTTGTAATTATGTGTAAAAAAAGGTTTTACTTACCTATGCACAGTGCCAGACAAATATTCCACTACAGTCGCTTCACGTCCAGCTTCATTGCGTTGCAGTACAGACACAACCGGATGGAATTGCATTGGCAATTGCATAGAGCGTCCAGATTTAATGTTTAAGGAAGCATCATGTGCTACTTCCATGCCAATGTAACCATTTCCTACATACGGTATGAAATTGCGTTCCTCCGTATGCGGTGGCACATGCCGTATATTAGCATCGAATTCAAAGTTTTGTAAGAAAAATGGCGTTAAGCGATCGTCCATACATTGCATATGTGGATCTACACACACATATAAATAGTGATTGGAGGAAATACATTTCTAATTACCCAAAGATTCCATGTTACGATATAATAACTTACCCTTTACTTCCGGTGCACTCATAAATAGATAACGAAATACGGGTGGTAAAATATAGAAAAATATACATATTCCAAGGAGTAGCAGAAAGATTCGGCGATAGGACAAAAAGCTACCATCCGCTAAACGTTTAAGTTTTCTCTTAAACTCACCCAAATCGAATTTACTTGATTTGTCTGTGCGAAACATTTCGCATTTGTTCTCGGTGCTAATGTTTGTTTAACACAATTTTTGCCACAAATGGGTTGTGCCAAAACAGTCGCTTAGTGTGTTTGTTTTGAAAACACACAGTACTCCTACCGCTATGGCTCATCCACACTTATCAAATTTATCAATTCCTTCACTTTTGTTTTACACTGCACTACCGGTGTTGCAATATAAAAAAATTATATTTGACGTTTACAGTGACAACAAATGATAATCAGTTATTTAATTCTTAGCTAAGGCGAATGTTTTTTTTATAGAGTTGTAGTAAAATATGTTTATATCGCCACAAATCAGTGAGATTTAATTTATACTGTTGAACTACCGAAAAATTATATCAAAATAATAATAAAAAAATAAAAAATAATATTTGTAAAATTACGTTGTATCTATGTATATTTTGGTTATAGTTCTTCATATAAATTTCCAATTGGTGTTCGGTGATGCAAATATGCAAATTTTGTACGATACTGTGCAAGTAATAACAATGGATTAGCCCTTTACAACTGCTTAAACAATTGAAGTTATCTAACTATTTGAATTTATAATTACGTTTTATTCGCTCTGATAGATAGCGCAAATATTTGACAGCAAAAAAAATGTGAATTAATTTCGAGAGAGTATACCAAGAGTTGAACTATAATGAAAGGTCTTAAAAGCTAGAAACATTGTTTAGATTTTTTCACAATTTAAAAAATAACTATGACTATCTTAACTGAATAAATTTTATACTAATATTAAAATTTTTGTAAAAAATTAGACATAATTTTATTAAAATTTTCATCATTATTTCCGAATATTCCCTTACCTGTTCCAGCCTTTCCGAACATCTTCATTTTTTAATTTTTGTACTGTACTGACTTTTTTGACAAATAAACATTAATGGCTGCCAATCTCGAATGAAGAAGCAGCAGCAGTGAATTTTTCGCTCCAATTTGCAAAAAGTTTGAGAAAACTGTTTTATAAAACCGAGTGCAAGTCTAATAAACAATTTGCTAAAACGCCGTGTGGATAATATTCGTACAGGATGTGGCCGCAAGCGTTGCAAATGTCTAGAGACGAGTGTCGAGGGATATTGAGAAGACTTGGTAAGAAAGTGGCAACGAACGCGAGCCAAACTACCTACTATGTACGCGAAAAGCACTGGCGCTCTGGCGCCTTCAGGAGCTATGCCACCAGATATGATGCCTATGTGGCCTGCTTCCTTCAAAGCTAAATAATTGTGTATCAAAAGTGTAAATGGCCATTAAATATTGTGTATTTGGTTTGATCTACTTCTAGAGCTGGAATCGTATTCGCATGTGATAAGTGTATTTCGCGCTCAGGGAGGCCTAAGCGAAAACAAGGCCAAACTTCTTGAGGAGTTGCGTGGCATATTTCACATCTCACAAGAGCGTCATCGAGCTGAGGCGCGTCGTGTAGCAAGCGATGAACAATTATGTACTATAGCTGAAGCGTAAGTTTTCGAAGAATATTTCAATCGCATAGTTACGAAATAAGACGAAAATTGAATGTTAATTATATGTTCCCTCGTAATGGTGGCATGTCGCTTATGCATATAATTGTGTTTTTTTTTTCATGTGCGCAGTATATCGGGTCCAAATACTTGGCAGGAATGGTCTCGCGAAGGACGCCGCTCGTTTCCCATGCTGCCCCGTGTAGCGCCACAAACAGCGCTTGCCTTAATTGCTAATAATGTAGCTTCAGAAACAGCGTCAGAAAACGCCAAACTACCATTTCCTTCTGATACCGCAGCAGCGTACGCTGCTGAGCATGCAAATTTATTTTCTGGAAGAGAAGACTCGACACCATGGGAAATGAAACGAGAAGTTTTCGTCGTCACAGATGATCCTGTAAGTTTAAATTTGACGTGTGTGTTTGTGTGAAAGGGCGGTGTTATATAACACTTCAGGAGTAAATAGAGTGTGTATCGAAAAGTACAGTCTGTGTGTCAGTTTTACAGGAAGATCGGTAAAATTATAAAAATAATAATAGAATATGAATGCAATTAGAACATTTGATGAAACTAAAAGATCATTAAATAAAGTACCCAAAATTTACTATGTACACTCGTATGTACATGTAATATATAAAAATGCAAATACAGTTTTGGTGGGTAGTTTGTTTTAATTTTATTAATTTAGCTTTTTTATATTTTAAAGTAAATGATAAACATTTTTCTATTTTTTTCTATTTAATTTTTATATATACTTAAATATATATAGTATTCCTTCAAGTCGGCGATTTTGTTTTTCTTATTCACAATGGGTCTACTTCTGATCACTTAGAGGATTAATATTTTCAAACTATTTTTAAATTTTTATTATTTTTATACATTAACAGTTTAAAATGCCTGATATACCCGTTGGGAGTAAGAAAAATCTTAAGCGCAACATATCTGATAATCAATCTACCGCAAGTAACAAGAAACGCATTGTTGGTGATTCTTCACCTATCAAACATCAACAACACCAGAAGCAGTTCCACCATATAACTGCCAATAGTGCCCAAGCTACTTCACCAAGCAGTGGTTCTAGTAATATACGTAAATTATATCACAATCATAATAACAAAACTACCAATCAACGTGTTAATCAACCACAAATACAAAAACAAAAATTGGCAACGAAAAAATCGGTAGCAGCGTTGAATACAGCCGTGAACACTGTCATGCCTTTAACGCCTAGTAAACGCCAGGCAACGCCAGCAAAAAGTGGACGCAAACCAAATTCCAAAATTCAAGAACAACGGCAGCAACAACAAGCGCTTGCTCAACAACAACAACTGCTTCCACAAACAGCCGTTCGGAATATACAACACGTGGTTGGTGAGGGATCAGAAGACTTTAATATGGAACAGAAATTTGCGCAACCACAAATTGCTGCTTCGAAAAAGGACATAACTAAGAATCTGACAAAATTGCAATTGCCAAATGTGATTACCACACCATCAGCGAATGTTAGCGCACTCTCACCAACACCAATAATATCAGGAAACGCGTTACCCGCACCATTGACAGTTAATACTCCAGCTACGCGCATCGATGGACATCAAATAACAACTGCTTTATCGCCGCCTATTGTCGGTGGCAGCGGCGGATCTACCGGAGTACCGATTATTTTACACGGCAAAGTGGAAAAGCAACTGATTTCCACACCAGTGCAAAAGATAATACTTGAAGATCGTCTTCCGCCTCATCAACCACAAGGTTTAATGGCCACATCATCAACAACTTCAACGGCAACGGCGGTTGTGGTATCCTCGGCGCCAACAATACAGTTACAATCTACAACAACGCCACAGATCATGACATTGCCACAAATATCAGCTGCTGCAACGAAATTGCGGGCAATAAATACAACCATTTTACCACCAGGCACTAAACTTACTGCAAAAAAATCTACATTGATCACCACTTCTGGTGTTAATATAACTGGAAATGAGAGTAGCACTCTGCCAACTGGTAGCACAAGTGGCGGCGGCGCCAATCACACACAAGTCTTTAGTATCATTGATAGTAACAACACCGTCGGTAATGCTCAAGGGTCGCCAGCGCTGCCAACGCATACGCCACCTGCTATAATACAAATACAAAACACAAACACCAACAGTATGTCTAATGAAAGCGTTATGTCTGCGCCGCAAACGCTACAATCAGCCCAGCTACCGACTCAAGGTAAAGTTTTGACAACAAAATTGTTACCAAAGGTGCTGGGAGGCACAAGTATATCTGTTGGCAGTGTCACTACTACGCTCAGTGGCAACAGCAGTAGCGGCGGTAATACTGTCAATATTACGAAAATCGAAACTCTGAATAATGGCGCAACGCTTTTAAGTAGCGGCGGTAACATCGGCAATAACCCGAACACATCGTTGGCCGGTACAACTACAGTGCTGAAAAGTGTTGGGTCAACAATATTGCTTTCACCAAATCAGAGTGGCACAGGTAGTGGAGGAGGTGCATTGTTTTCAACTCTCACCAGCGGTGCTCCGGTATTCCGTAAATCACAGATCTTCAAAACGGGCACAATTGGCGTGAGCGCAAGTAGTGCAGGAAAGGTAAGGTCTTGATATGTAGTTAGTTTGGTTTTCCTTTTCAATGAGTTTTTTTGTTTGCTTTAAGTTTTGGTTCCACTTTTTCATTTATTAATTTTAAAGTTTTTATATAGTTTTAAATCTTTGTTTTTTTTTATTTAATTAATTTTTTTAGCTTAATTATTGTTTTACTTTATTTTTCATTGTTCTTAATAATATTTTTTTTATTTAATATTTTTATTTATATGTTTTTTATATCTTATTTAATTTTTTACTAAAAGAAATGTACATAATTTTATTTCTTTTATTATTTTTGTTTATTTTTATGGTTTTTTTACATCTTATCAAATTTTTTTAATTTCATATTTTGTTTTTTCTTATTTCATATTTTATTTTTGTTAATTTTAATGCTTTTTAAATATTATTTTTTTAATTAATTTTTTTATTTCTTATTTAATTATATTTTATTTCATTTAATGTTTTTGTTTTTTTTTTTTAGTATTTTATTTATTTATTTTTTACTTTTTATTTATTCTATTTAACTAAATTATTGTTTTATTTTATTTTTTATTGTTTTCAATAGTATTTTTTATTATTATATTTGATTTATTTTTATGTTTTTTATATCTTATTTAATTTTTTTATTTTTTTATTTCTTATTTTATATTTGTTTATTTTTATGCTTTTTTATATTTAATTTAATTTTTAATATAATTTTTTTATTTCCTATTAAAATTTTTTATTTCTTTTTTAATTTTTTTTATTTCATTTTAATTTTTGTTATTTATTTTTTTTATACTTTTATAGTTTTTTTATTATATTTTTTTTTTTTAAATTTGCACGTCCCAATCCAAATTCTAATAAAATTTCGTAAACTGTTTTTTTCAGCTTTCCGGTACATTTAGTACTTCCAACTCTGGTCCTCAAATTATTAGTAACATTAAATTGACACCTGCGCATACTACAACAAGTATAACCTCTGTCACCCATTCGAATCAACAACAATCATCAACGGCTTCACCATTCTTGCAACAACAGCTCAAGACTGGCATTCGTGCCAGTGTAAAAATATGCCAATCATCAAATGGCAAAATGTTCATTCAGCCAGCCAATATGGATAGCGCCTCCAAAACAAAATTGCAGAGCACATTATCACACAAAATCTTGCCCAATGCCGTCGTCAGTAGTAGTTCTACCGGTGCTGGCACATCGGTGACACATCAGCCACAACGCATCGCCATACAGAAAGTGCAAATAATACCAGCGCCACTTCATTCACCTGGCACAATAACTGGACCCTTCCATACGGTCACCACCCAATCTCAAGCGCAGACTAAGCCAACAAATACAATAACATTAAGTGGCAATAAAGGTAATATGAATATGGTTTTCATGCCTACGGTCGGCGCACGTACCACCTCGGGCACCATCACATTATCGAAAAGTGCTAATGTTGCCAGCGGCATTGTTGCTGCTAACAAAGTACAACATACCGGACAAAATTCAGAGACAGTTAAACCAAATGTTGTTATAATTGGCTCGTCAGCATCACAAAGTGGCACGAGTACGACCATCAAGCCAGCTACTTTTCTGGATGGCAACAATAAGTACAGTGTAACGTCAACAGGAAGATCCACAGGCAATGCAGTGCACTTGGAAGCCAACCAAATGATTACCGAAGACACACCGGTGGATATTCTCAATATGCCCATTATAGTGGACAGTGGTGATGGTACAAATATCACAATGGGTAATAACATTGGTGACACAGTAACGGTGTTGCCAAGTGCGCTCATTGAAAAAGTAGAACAGCAAGAAGGACAGCAACAACAAGACCATCAACAGCAACAACCACAACCGTCCACAATAATTTTGGGTGCTACCGATTGGGAAATGGAATTGGATCAAGCTACAGCAGTGGCGGCTGCAACTAAAGCAGCCGCACGCACAGAATATCATCGTCAACCCAGCAGTTTATCTAGCGGTAAACAACATAATAATTCTCTGGGTGATAAGCAACAACAACAACAGATGCATGCTAAAGCAACAATTGATGGCGAAACTATTATTATTGATGACAGTTTTGAAGATGTTATTGTAGAAGAGCAGGAAGAAGGCGAAACAACGGACGCTGGTACCGAGACTGAGGGAACTGTAGACGATGTTGAAACGGGCGATGAGACAGGCGGTGAAGAGGGCCAAGAGATGACGGAGAGAGCATACACAATTTTCAGTGGCAGTGAAAGTGGTGAGATGCAACCAACTAAGCAGCAAGGTACTGCAAAGATAAGAGTGGGGCGCGTGCAGAAAACATACAACAACAACAAAACTGCCATTAATGATGATGAACCCATTGAAGTGATTGACGATGATGACAACCATCAGGCATTTGGTGGAGCTGTTAGTGAGAAAAAACCTATTAAGAAAGCGGACAGTGAGAGACAAAAAATGGATAGAGAAGTAAATGTAGAAAATGTGCTCAACGAAAGAGCAAACAACATGGCGGCGGTGATGGAATGTGACACAGATGCAGGATTCGATGAGACTATCGGTAGGTGTTGGAAAATTAATATGCAAATATAAGAAAAAGTAAAAAATATAATAAATATATATAATATATACAAATATAAATAAATGAATGAATATTAAAGAAATATAATAAGAAGGCAAAGAAAATTACAATAGAATAGATGCATTATTTGCAATGAAAAAATTAAAATAAAAAAAATTATTAAGTGAAATGAAAAACATAAAAAATTAAAAAAGTATTAAAAATAAAATTTAGAATCAGTAAAAATAAATATGCAAATAATTAAAAAAAATTAATAAAAAAATTTGAAATAAATGTATATGTTAAGTAAAGTATTGTATAAAAATATAAAAAATATATATTAAAAAAAAAAAAATGTAAATAAAAATATAAAAAAATAAAAATAAAAGACACAAAATTTAAAAATATTACCGAACATAAAAATAAAATAATATAAAAATTTAAAAATGTTAAAAAAATGAAAAATGGAAACCAAAAATAAAAATTTTTAATAAAAGTCACAAATAATAATTTTTAATAAAAGTTGAACACAAAATTTTTTAATAAAGTTAAAAACAATTTTTTAAAATAAGTTGAAAATTATAATTTGAATATTTGTATATATATATTTGTAGAATAAAAATGAAAATAAAAAAATGAAAATGGAAATAAAATATAAAAGTATAAAAGTAAAAGTAAAAAAATAAAGTATAAATATATAAAAATACAAATGTAAATATATAACATGCAAATATAAAAATAAAAACATAAAAAAAGAAGCATAAAAGAAATAAAAACAAAATAAACATAAAAAATAGAAACAAAACACATAAAAAAATAAAAACATGAATAAAATAAAAAAATAATAATAAAAAAAAATGAAAAAAATAAAAAATAATAAAAAAAATGAAAAAAATTATAAAAAACAAAAAAAAACGTGAAAAAAAATATCTTAATAAGAAACCATGAAAAAAATAGAAAAAAAAAAATTGAAAAAAATTGAAAAAAAATAATAAAAAAAAATAATAAAAAAATAGTAAAAAAATAGTAAAAAAAATAATAAAAATGTAATACAAATAATAAAAAATAATAAAAATATAATAAAAAAATAATAAAAAAAATTAATAAAAAAATATCAAAAAAGTTTAAAAAAATAATAAAAAAAAAATAAAAAATTACAAAAAAAAAAATTAAAATAATAACAAAATAATAAAACAATAATAAAAAAATAATAAAAGAAATAAAAAATAATAATAAAAATAAATACAATTAAAAACAAAAAAATAGTTAAAAAATGGAAATTATATAAATAAATATTGAAATAATAAAAAATATAAATAAAAATAAGAAAATAAATATAAAAAATAGTAATAAAAAAATAATAAGGAAATAATTATATAGTAAATAGAGCAATACAAATAAAAAAAATAGAGGAATAAAAATAAAAATAGAGGAATAAAGTTAAAAAAAAATAAGAAAATAAAAATAAAAGACTTATAAAAACTAATTAAAAATAAAGAAACTAATTTTTCATACATACATATTTCTATTTATGTAGTTGCTGATATTGATGAAAATACCGCAATAGAATATATAGAAGAAGAAAACAATGTGCGTTCTGGCAACGATAAAAACGAGCTACACAATGTGCTTGTCACACCATCATCAACTAATGCAAAAAAACAAATAATTGAAAGCGATGTTATCGTGTTAGACGATAATGACAGTACTGCGCTAGCTGCAACTGCAACACTAGCTACAGCATCAACAAGTGTTACATCAGAAGCTTCAGCAGTGGCAAAGGATTCCGAAACAATTAAGTTAGTTAGCGTTGCTACGACGAAATCGATAATGGTCGCAGCTGGTAATAGCAATGATCCAACCGGACTGCACTAAATTTGAGTGCTTTCAATGGACTGCATGGGGCGGCATGAAACAAGTTGTGACAAAGTCTTTCTATTTTTATTTTTATTTTTTCTTGTTCGATTTTCTTGAGCTGAAATACAAAGCAATGGAAATATAAAGTAGGGATAGAGAATTTCTAGAACGTAGGCTATATGGGTGTACATAATAAAAGAGTTTGGTGAAGTTAGTTATTAAAATGAATGATAGTTTAGAATACATTTTCAATGTAAATTTATCAATGGTGCGTAGTGAAGTACGCACGCAAAGAATATAAGTGCACATACATACAAACATAAAACATAACATTAAAGCTAGGGGGGAGGAAGAAGCAGCAGAATTAGTTAAAGTTCATGTATACAGCCGTAGATTTGTAGTAGAAATACATAAACAAGGATTTCTTGTTGTATACTACTACGAATTACTCAACTAGGTTGGACTATAGTTTAAACATAATTTACAGTTATTCAAGTTTGTTTTAAATACACATTATTTTAAATAAATTATTCTATATATATATACATATATTTTTTTTTTTTGGAATTTTTTAACGTAAGAGTTCTAGTGTAACTTAAGTGCTCACATGTTTTTATGTGCACCCACAATATGAAGATCTAATACAACTGAATTCATACGACTCATTTTGTACTAGCGTTAAGTAGTACCAGTGGGAAAATAACTACAACATACATACGTGTATAAATACCGTAAATTTCCAAAAAATTGTTTGTCCATAAGGTGTAAATAGTAGTTAGTAATTTGTAGTTGTACTTCAGCAAACAAACAGAGAAGGTAGTGAAAACAGCAAAAACTCAAACGCGCACACCAAACTGATCAAATTTCAAGTGCAAGTGCTGTTCATACATATGTACATACATATGTACGTACGTATGTATATTTTGCATGTTTTGAAAATTTTACACACTGCATACTTCTAGCAGCTTGAATGAAATAAATTCACAATTTCATACAACTAATACAATTATACACGTACATATATAATTTGTTAATATTACTAATAAAAATCAAATAAGAATGTTATACTTAAATACTAACGCATGAACGCGTATAATCACTTGAATATACAAACATACATTAAATACATTGAAAATAAAAAACACAAACATTTGTTTACAAATCGTACGTATGTAGCTCACTCACAGCGAGATTAATAGGTTAGTAATTGATATTCATTTAATTTCTTTCTTTTATTTTTTTTTTAATTAATGTATAAATTACTCGCAAGCAATTTATGATCGACAATCGATCGTAGCTCATATTTATCAAATGTTGAATAGGCAAGCCAAACGTGTAAACAGACAAGCAACAGAATATACACGATCTTTTGCAATTGTTTTCTAAAAAAAAAAATTCGTTTCTTAGAGTTAGCTTAGCAGTTTAAAATAGAAAAAGTAAAAAAGAATTCAAATTTTGGTTGTTAATAGCCTTTTATATAAGCGGTTATGAATATACAACCGAAAGCAGCTACGAAGACGTACTTTACGATTGATATATATATATATATATATAATAATTTCTTTTTTGTTATGATACTCTTTCCTTACAAACATTTGTATAGCAGCGCAAGTTGTAAATACAAAAAAAAAAAAAAATAAGTCCTTCATTACTACTACTTAACATTACTAACAACATACATACACACATATGTACATATTTGTACATTACCACGTTATATTTGTGAATAAAATACTTATAAGCATTACTCATTACTTTGGCACCGGAATTCCTACGATTTAGGAGGATATGCTTGAATTCTTACAAGTTTTAAATGTTTCCTTTTATTTTTTTTTCTACTAAAATTGCAAAAATTTTTTTACTCTAATGTTTCTCTTTTCATTTCAACATTACGGCTAGCAGCTATTAATTTAAAAGCGCAAAAAACAAAGTTAAATAACTAAGCTAACGTTTATATGTACAGTAAAATTATAAAAAATAAAAAAAGGAAAATTATAAAAAAAATATGTAATAATCAAAAGGAGAAAAAAAACAAGTTCTTTAGTAGTAGTAAACTAATAAAAGCAAATATACAACATACATACATACTCTATTAATTGTTGAAGAATACATGTCTGTAACGTTTATCTTTAAATCTTTGCTATTATTAATACTACATATTATTAATATAATTATATTTTTTGTTTATTGAATTTATTGTGTAGATTTTATCAAATAGAACAGTAAATATTTGAATAAAAATGCCGTTTTGAAAAATAAATTAAGAATGTTGTTTTAAATTAAATATAAATATTTTTTTTTAATCAAAAATCAGAAGTGGCATTCAACAAAAACAATTCCAGATCTGAATTGAATTAAAATGTTGGTTGTTACAGTTGAATGACTGGCTATGCAAATACAATAATCTTGAGTCAAACAATGAAATATTAACCCGAAAGCAAAAAAATCGGCTGAAAAGCTTATAACTTCGGTATTTTGGAATGTATATGGTGCATAACCTATATTGAAATATCCCAGAGAATTGGGGGCCGAATCAGGTTGGGATCATGTGCAGTAACAGCAAAGGAAAAACTCATGCCTTGCTTATATGGTCACGTTAGGCCACAACATACCGACATTCCATTCAGGCAGAATGAGCATTAGTAGTAATGACAAATGTAAGAAGTATCTCTGTCTGGCATTAGCTAGAAGTCGTAACGTATCGAATTTCAAATGAATTGGATATTAATTGGAACTTCGCAAAAAACGTTGGCGTCTTATACGATGGGCAATAAAGTCGACCTCAATCTGGCTCTACCAACGACTCAAGGAGCCTATGTAAGGAGCAACAAACAGCCAGCGAAGTTAGCAGTGAATATTATATAGAGTGATGAATTAAAGATACTAAAATGAACTAAAGTATTGGCACAGCAAGATAGTTCAACTTTAAGACCTTTTTTCGACCACTTAGGAAAATATTTTTTATTCCGAAAAAGAAAATCCTAGACAGAGGGATACATTTTCAACTATTTTTACTTCAATTCATTTTATTACCTTTTATGTTAAATATTTAAATACTAATCATAAATGAAAAAAGTACTCATTTCCACTAAACAAATGTATTGGCACATTTAAGTTTCACTGGACTATTTCGCTTAAATTTGATTGACCTAGAAACCTTAGTTCATCACTGTACATGGCGTTATTCGTGGATATATTTCATGTTGGAAATTCACTCGCAATGCCCCTCTCTGAATTATTTTCCACATAAAAAAGTCGCTAATAGTTATTAACCTCTATTTCTATTACATCCAGCAAGCCTAGTTAAAAAGGTTAGTGATGTGGGAGTTATTTCAGTCAGACATCTTTCGATGGTTAGAGACAAAAGACAAGTGACCTGCAGTCTACATAAGTCGCAAAACATCTCTGAAACATTTAATTCCAACTGACAAGGAGTTCAAGGGATTCATGCGGCAGCCTGAAGCATCCAAATGGTTCAGCACCGTGTAAACATTTGGAACAAGTGGAAGCAAACTATCCGAAACACGGAACAAAGACACTGTAGCTCGAGAAAACCATCAACAGATGGAAGCCATATTGCTCGATATCTCTCTCTCTTCCCGCAAAGCAAAAGTGCACAGTATCAGCACCGTACTAAACTCTATGAATAATAATTATGGGAGCTACCGATCTATAAAATCGATAGAACACAAGAGCTTGACTATTAGGCTTCGTTATCTAATGATTGTGATTCTGTTTTGTCAGGCATCTTGAGAGAGAGTTCCATAGAAGGATTCTTTGAGAATAACCACCACGGACTAACCCTTCGATCCATGTATCTTTCAAGGCTGCCCCTTGAGGATCTTATGCCTAGTGGAGATGGCTTTGTTTTATTTCACACAAAAACCGCAACGGTTCGACCAGGACGATACCTTTCTAAGGATTCCCTGCATCAAGTTATCACGGGTGCGTGGGAACTTGCCTCTGTTTGCTAAGACGATATCAATGACTTCGGCCACATGACATTTGTGTTTGTATGAGTTAATAATGACTTTCACGTGAGGTTTCAGAGTAATGTGGAGAGAAGTCTGACCTGTAGAGTGCCTCTGCTAACAGAACTAGGTGCACTTGGTGCACAATGGTCCGTGAGAGATTACAATGATCTCTTTTAATTGGTAAATGTACTTACGGCAACTATGAGTGATTGAATTGTGTCTTCATGCCCATAGTATATGATTAAATTTTTATTAGGCCACATACATAACTTTCAGCCATTTTATGGATTGCTCCGAGCTGTTTTGTAGCTGTGCAGGGATAATACTGTGAGGACAAGGTGCTTTGTAAGCACTGATTATTATTCCGTCCGTGACAGATTGATCGAAAGCTCTTCACAGATGAGTTGAAGTCCTTAGCATTTCTTAATTGTCTTGGTAGTACTGGTAGTACCCATAGTGCTACTATTGAAAACTGGTCATTAGCGTCGACGTTAACCCTTTGAGATCAAAATTCTAAGTTTAGGAGTATGGAGTTCTGGGGCTTTCGGCAGCCGCAATACTTCCCTCTTCTACATAGGATGTAAAAACTGCAACAAAAGTACACGAAGTTGAAATGATGTCCGAGATGTAATTAAATGCTCAGTCGCAACCCGCCAGCAACAAGAGCTGATACAATGAAACGTTGTCGGCAACACTCAAGGTTACCAGCCGGCGACCAGCGGACGAAATTACAGGCCTTAAGAATGCCGCCTTAAGGACATTCTATTAGTGGTGTAACACACCGAACTTCTCGAAGTCGCTCGTTTCCTAGACGTTCCGTTAGACCATAATCAGGTGGTCCAACCAGCTTGAATCGCTCCAAAGAGGTGTGTATTGAAGCGGTACACATATATTCTAAGAACAACAAAAATATCAAGGTATGTAAAATCTTCAAAGCTTCAGATCTCTATCTCTGTCCCACTTAGCTGAAGCTAACAAGCTGACGGATTTAATAATGGATTTATCACCATCAGAGGCAGCGTTCCTTCTTAACGCTTTTAACGAAGCTCATAAAATATTTTGGTTCGATTTTGTATTTACCAACTGTGCAACACTGAATTTTCCATATTTTCTTGTAGACTTTGCTTCAGAGTTGAATTGATCGAAAAATTTCCACGTCAAATGGAAAAAATTCATTTTAAAATTAAATTTTCAACCGAACGGAAGAAAAGTTCGCTTCCGCATATATTTCATTGAATTTTACATAACAGTATAGAATTGCAAACAGTTACGAAGTAAATCAACACTTATTATGGATGGCGGCGAAAAAAATGCAATGCGTCTGGGGAAACTGCTCGGTGTTTCGCGGACCATACAAAAGCACACAACGCGACGACTCAGCGTCACCGACCATGAACGCGAAGAACACGAACGAAAACGTACACAAATGCTGAAGGAATTACGTCAACAGCGCATCTCCTCGTTGGGTGCGAATCAACGTTACGTAATAGAGATCGCTGCAGATTTGTTGAATGTTGAGATGGATGAGCTTATAATGGGCTTAGTGGATGATCAGGCATTTGTGGAACTATTAAGTGGTATTTTCGAAGATAAAGGACCACGCGCCTGTATGATCTCCTATGCCCCACAAAAGGGTTATCCAACCGAATCTGGACGTTATCAGGATAAGCTAAAGTATGCCGATGTTAAACGAGCGGTTTGTCTGAAAAGTGATTTCGTTAAAATGAACGGTGCTTGGGTTATCGTTTATCGTAATAATAACAATAAAGCTATAGAGAATCGCACAGTTTCAGATGATGTGGCGATGTTTCGTTGGGTCACCGAAGGCGGCAATTGTCTGAAGGTCATTAAAGAGTTTATGAAGCGCGTACTAACCGCCTCCTTAGAGGTTGTCACCGACTTTGGTGTAGCCGAACCGGAACAGAAACGCAAGTTCTTTCATATACTCAGCATGTATAATATTTTCCTACAATCCTCCGAGGCAATAGTATCTACACGCGTTAATTTTGAGGTCTCGCATGAACTCTTTAAAGGCTTACTCTTGGTGAAGTTTCAAATAGAAGCCAGCGCCAAGGACGTCGGACGTGTACGTTTGGTCGAGCGTTATTTTGCACAATGGTTGCGTCAAATACAAGGAATTTTGGTCGAAGGTAAACAAATACTGCGTGATCCGCCCGATGTTGGACCGCTGCAAATGTTGGTCAACTGGCGACGACAATTGGCGCGTTATACCTCCATTATGGAATTCGTTTCGTCGCGTGCGTTCAACAATCACAAACAGTGTCTGATCTTATCCCGTTCTTCGAAACTATTGAAGGTGAGTAAAGGTAGTGAGTTGGCGGCAAAAGGTTGCAAGCTCTTATGAGGAGTTTTTTTTTTTAGAAATGGGCCGAAATCGATAACCAAGTAACTTTAGTACTGAATGTGGCAAAGGATAATGTGCGTTATATATCATCACTACAGAAGTTCTGGGATCCGCTATATAGGTAAGCTTGTTGCAGGCATTCAGCTGAGTTCAAATACAAATTATCATACTTTCTTATAGATCTGCGCCAGATGAAATAATCAGCAGTTTACCGGGTCTGATGGTGGCGATACGCAACGTCTCGAAGACCGCGCATTATTTTAATACACCCAGCAATGTTACTGGACTCTTTGTGAAGATCTCCAATCAGATAACATTAACTAGTCGAAGATATCTCACCGATAGCGGACGTAGATTGCTCTGGAACTTGGAGCCGAATAGCGTTATAGCGAAAATAAATAAATGCAATGAAATAATTGAATATTATAAGTCAATTTACTTGCAAACTGTGGACGATATGGCGTTTGCGAATGAGAATCCCTGGGTTGTTTCAAAGGTCTACATATTCACTTGTTTGGAAAAGTTTCAAGCCCGACTGGAGAAGGTACATTTATTGTTTGGTCTTCTTTACATGATCGAAGCTACTCGCAAATAATTTTATTACAGATACGCGACATATTTAATACCGAAATAACCTACTCCGTACTGGATCGCATCACTATTAGCGGTATGGAGAAGTTTAATGCACAAATTAAGGGTGCGAGAACGACGATAGCCTCTAAACCCTATGATCCGCTTGACTACCGCATAGAGATCTTTAATAAAGATTTTGAAGTTTTCGTTAAAGAAGTCGAGCAGGCCGAAGTAGGCATGCAGCAATTCGTGAAACAACAGATTGCCGATGTGCCCATTGCCGAGTCGGTGATTTTGATACTACAACGTTTCGAGCGTCTAGGCTTGGAGTGTTTGTGTTTGGATCGACGTTACTTAGAGGTGGCCGAGATGTTGGAAAAGGAAATGTTTCTACTAAAGGATGTGTATGTATTCGCTCTCCCTTTCTCTTTCTCTCGCTCTCTCTCTGTATCTTTCATAACACAACTTTATACCATATGTATTATGATCTTTGTATTAGTTACAACGAGGAGCGTGGTAGTCCGTTCATTGCACGCAATATGCCACCAGTCGCCGGTCGCATCACTTGGATTCGTTCCATATTCAAAAAGATTGACGAACCCATGAAAGTGCTCAGGCATCGCCAGTGTGTGCTGGCACATAAGAAAGCTCAACGTACTGTCCGCTATTATAATTATATGAATGGTATAATTTGTCACTACGAAATGACCTATCATAAAGCTTGGTATGATTATTGTGAGGAGGTGCGTTGCTTGCTGAACTCGCCCATTCTGCTGTGTCACAAAGAAATGGCTCAATATACGGTTAACTTAGATCCGGCTATTAAGCAGTTGATCAGGGAGACAGAGTGGATGTGGAAGCTGAAATTGGGTAAGTGAAAAAAGAAAATCTTTTTATCATTTGGGGCATAAAATTCGTGGCGAGTTCCAAAATCTTAACACAATCAGTGCTCGTCTCCAACCGTGAGTATAAGGCCAGTAGTCGTGAACTGCTTGACTCACATGTAAAAACTTTCCTCATTTGGTTGAACGCGTGACGTCATCTACGTTGGCGAGACCATTTCCTGCGAATATGTAGCAATCGAAGTGTTCGATTCAACTCTCGCTGATGAGAGCAGAGGAAGAGGAAGAATTATACTTCGTTGGAAGGATCAGGTGGAGAGCGACTTGACACCACTTGGCACTAAGCACCGAAAGGAAGACATGACTGGCGCGCTATTGCGTACGTCAATGAAGAAGAAGAATGTGGAGCCCCACTACGGACTTGGCCGCAATCGTAAGACTGTTTGAGATGATTATATTGAAAATAATAGTTTGACTAAGTTTACATCAGCTAGAGCTATTCCTGCCTTTTGGCGTCTAGTCTAAATGATTAATAAGTGTTTTCGTTCATTAAGAAAACGTCACCAAAGCATCTCCGTGAAATCATTTTGGTGGGTGGTCTAACGTTGGCAATCACTTCCGCTCTCTAGATCGTTTCAAATCCAATTTCATGAAACACTGTTAATTTACTTAAGGCAACTTTCTCTAATTTTAATTCTTTACATAATTTTCAGAGGTTCCAAATATCGCGAGCGTTGTAACGTACTGTAAAGATCGAATTCTGGATCCTGCTGTTCAACTTAAAGAAACCATTCGACGTTACGATCTATTCCGACAATCGATATCTTCGGTTTTCATAAATATTATGCGTTTTCGTCTACAAGAAGTAGCGGTGCTAATCAAACCCGCATTGACCTCGATTACTTGGATCTCAGAAAATCTGGAAGACTTTGTGCAGGCGCTCGACGATGTTAGTGAACTTAGATACTTTAAGCTTTCCTTGGTTTCAATATTTATTGTTTTATACAGAAAGTCGACGAAGTCGAGACATTCTATCGGACTGTGGAAAATATCGAGAAGATACGCATTATTAGAGAAATGGAAAATTTGACTGATTTTCTATATGTGTACCAACCGGAAGAGCCTATCTTGTCAGAGAAATATCTCGACATGAGTAATAAACTGCGTGCGGAATTAGGTTTGATCATTTACTGCCATATGAGCCGAGCATGATAACATTCATTACTCTTTCGGACTCTTTCAGAGACCATTATCGAACGCAACTCTGTCTGCATAGAACGTGCGGTTATCGATTTGGTGAATATGTTTGTGGACTTGTTGGATTTTGGTCCTTTAGACACGAAGGGTCGGCGCGTCTTTCAATTACCTATAGAGAAACTTAACGATAATAATTGGCGTGTGGAAGGCAACTATCCGATTGATAAATGGGATTGGATACAATTTCAAAAGATTTATCGTACCATCTACTTGGTGCCCGAGGAAGCTCTCAGGGCATTACAAATGAAGAACTACGAAAGTATTCGTTATGAACTAAACCATTTACGTAATGATTGTATGGATCTATTTTCGTACTATAATTCAAAAATGATTCTGGCTCTAGTGCAATGCTCTAAGCGTTCGTTGGACTTTGTGCGGCATAAGATATTGAGGTAATTTCGGAAGGTTTTCCATTTGTATGTTTGGCGGTAGGTTCTATCTTCAACACCATTCTCCGGGTAAGGTAATTACACCATGCATACACTTCGTGGTCCTTTGCAATGCCTGTTGGAGGTTCAGTTCAGTTTGAACTGAAGTAGTCCTCATGTAAGGCGTCAACGCTTTATGCGAAGTTTTACAGAATCAATTCTAATTCTTCATCTAACACTATACGTTTGATGAGACTTTCAATGCGCTTAAGAGAAGACTTATTCCACGTTATTTGGCACTTACTACGAGGTTTCGCTTTTCATGAAATGTGTAAAGCAGTATTAAGCTGCACAAAAGCCAGTTCTTACACCGTGCAAGTTCTTCGCCACCGCCTTATTCGAATAGCTCAGCTGGGAAAGTCATCGGCCAGCCGATTTCCTGCTCTTCAAGGGGCAATCGTTATTCGTCATGGGCGGGTGACGGAATGTCTATTCCAACATCAAATATTTGGGATTCAGGTTCATTAGCTACGGGTGAAGACCGAAGGGCTCTCTTTATACACTCAGTATGCCCTAATCACTGGACTCTGTCGTTTACTGATGACATCGATTTCTTTGGTCTTAATAACTGCGTCTCCAGACTGAACATAAAGGTGAGGAGTATGTGTGGACGAGATGAAATATCTTCTGCCGTATAAATAACAGACCTCGTACTCGAAACTGGCCTCCAACGTCACTGTTTGCAGTCACAATATTTAAGTTATAGACAATGCTGTTTATAGTAACCTCTGTCTCGGGATCCAATGCAAAATTACTCTTCTCAAGACATGCTGTTTTGGACTTAGTAGGCAAAAAGATTGGGCATTAGGAATCATAGAGAGAAAGAGAGAGTTTCGTGAAAGATTGATGGACCGTTGCAGTCGTCGGCGTCGGCAAATACTGTTTATGATGAGAGAGGGGATGTTGTCAAAAAGAGTAAGATAATAGATTTACAGTAAGAAAGAAAAAAGACAAATAACCATGTCAGTTTGGAAATTTATGACACCTCGTTTTCCAATATTTATGAGTCCGTTTGTATCTCTTTTGGTGCCTTGTGAAACCCTCCATGGAGCAGAGTCTGAGACCTGATTTCATTTCTGTCTTATTTTCTTGATTGCTCTAGAACCAATTGGCGTACGGATCCAATGAAACCGATACTTTACACATCAATGGATATCGACTTGGAATTGGGTTGTACAATTGAGCCCAGTTTGGAAATGATGCAATCACACTTCCATGCAGCCATACAAGTATGCACGGAAATTAATTATTTCATTTCAACTTGGGGCCGACAAGCAAAAACCTTGGAAAGACGTATGAGACGTGTGACCGTGGGTAAGTAAAGCGTTTGGGTTAAACTATGTTCCGCAGAGCTTTGTCTGACGTATGGAGTCATTACCATAGATGAGAACCGTTATGAAAGATCGTATTTCCGTTATGTGGTGGATCATAAGGACATTATCAGAGCTATAACGAATCTAGCAAATGGTTTGCTGTTGTACAAACATGATGTGGATGACTTTTTAACGGTGAGTTGCTTTGCTAAGATTACCGAACATCATACTAAAAGAGTTCATTTTTAGGAAACCTTTAATAAATTCAAATATTTATGGAGCCAAGATCGGGAACAGATCATACAGGAGTTCGTCGACACCAATCCATTAACTGTGGATATACGCGATAAGTTCATTTATTATGACAATATTACAACTGATCTCGAAGAGATGCCGACGAATAAAGTTATAGGTCCCATTGAGATACGTATGGGTAAGTGGCACAGGCTCTTTTGGTGTCATCCCTTTGTAAACTATACATTTTTACTTTAATGCACAGAGAAAGCCATTGTGAAATATGTGGAGGAGTCGAAGAAATGGAAGGTCTTATTGGGACAATTGTTGAGCGCGCAGTACAAAAAACAATTGGACGAAATGGTTGATTTCATTACTGAAATGGAGCTCATACTAAGTAAGCCGATAAACGATCTGGACGATGTGCGTCAGGCGATGAATTGTTTGGAAAAGATACGTGATAATTTTATAACGTAAGATTGTATCGATTCTCCTGAGCCTACACAAGTATTTACTATTCTCCTTTTCAGCATGGATATGAACTTGAGCTTGATTATCGACACCTATGCACTTTTCGCTCAATACAATATTTTCGTACCAAAAGATGACTACGATAAGGTAGACAGCCTTCAACTGGCTTTCAATAAAATGCTGGAGAATGTGAGTTCCAGATCAATTTGGACTTTTATTTGGTTTTATATCTTTAATTGAGAAATTTCTTTAGGCCAAGAAAACCTCACAACGCATTTCGGATATGGAGGGCCCACTACTGCGGGAGCTCAATGAGGGTATTGCACAGTTCGTGAAGGAATTCGAACAATTCAATATCGATTTCGAAGCGAATGGACCGATGGTTGAGGGCATATCCGCGAAGGAGGCTAGTGACCGCGTATTCCTCTTTCAAGGCCAATTCGATGAATTGTGGCGTAAATATGAAATGTATAATAGTGGCGAAAAGCTGTTCGGTCTACCAATCACCGACTATCCACTATTGCATCAACGTAAGCGTGAATTTAACTATTTGAATCGTTTATACTCGCTGTACATTCAGGTGTTGAAGACTATCGCGGACTACTATGAGATGCCGTGGTCTGAGGTGGATATTGAAAAGATTAGCGCTGAGTTGGCTGATTTCCAAGTGAGGTAAGTTCGGAATATTCTTTTCGGAACCCAAGACCCAACAGTCCTTGGGCAGTTAAAAATGCAGTAGTTCAGGTCTAAACACCCTAAAGTCGCGGGAGCTATCGGATTTCAGACGGCTCTAATTACTGACATGGCCTATCGTGGGTAAATTCTTGAACCGCTCACCCGTAGGTGCTCTAGGATTTTCGATCCTCCTTTGCTCGCTGATGTTCTTTTGGAACATTTTTGTTCCCACTTAGGACCAAACAAACGAACTTTTCGACGAGTTTGGTAAGAGAGAAAGGATTGCTAAATGAGTAAGTTTTAGTAAGCAATCAAAGAGGGAGATGATTATGACGAGCGAAGACTGCCTGCATGTAGGCGTCTATCAAGTTTGGATGTCCTACATATCCAATGATGAAGGATGAGTCTACTTTATTTATTTTGGGGAAAGCCAGTGTATTATTATTTATAAAGTTTGCTTAGCGACCACAAGCCGAGTTGGAATGTTCAAGTAAAATTTATATTTTCTTGTGCTTCTTTTCACTCGTAGATGCCGCAAATTGCCCAAAGGCATGCAGTCCTGGCCAGCATTTATTGATCTCAAAAACAAAATCGACGACTTTAATGAGACATGCCCGCTCCTCGAGTTGATGACCAACAAAGCAATGAAAGAACGCCATTGGGTGCGACTTAATGCACTACTCAAGACCGATTTCGATCCGACAAGCACTAAATTCACACTTGGCAAACTGCTAGAGGCACCCATACTCAAATACAAGGACGATGTAGAGGATATTTGTGTTGGCGCCAGTAAAGAATTGGATATCGAGGCGAAGTTGAAACAGGTTATTAGCGATTGGTCGGTGGTGAATTTACAATTAGGTCAGTTCAAAAATCGTGGTGAGCTTGTTTTGAAGGGACAGGAGACACTCGATATTATTGCTGCACTCGAAGACAGTTTAATGGTGATGAATTCATTGGCTTCGAATCGCTATAATGCGCCTTTCAAGAAAGATATACAATTGTGGTTATCGAAATTGGTGAACACCGGCGAGATATTGGAGAAATGGTTGATGACCCAAAATTTATGGATCTACTTGGAGGCGGTATTTGTTGGTGGCGATATTTCGAAGCAACTGCCAATGGAAGCGAAACGTTTCACGAATATTGATAAGAATTACGTGAAGATTATGTATAGAGCACGTGAGATACCGAATGCGGTGGAATGTTGTACTGGTGATGACACATTGGCGACAAGCCTTACATGGCTGCTGGATCAGTTGGAGACGTGTCAAAAGTCATTGACGGGTATTCATAGACAATATTTCCTAAAGTTACACATTTCAAATTCATGCTACTTCCTTACCCAGGCTACTTGGAATCGAAGCGCTTGCTGTTTCCACGCTTCTTCTTCATTTCGGATCCTGTGCTACTCGAGATTCTCGGACAAGCTTCAGATCCGACAACGATACAGCCCCATTTGCTTAGTATATTTGATGCTATAGCTACGGTAAGCACATCCCCTCTCAATTACTTGCATAAATAAATAAAGAAATTTTCTTCTTCAGGTCGACTTTCAAGAGAAAACCAATGATGTCATGATCGCCATGAATTCAATGAATAACGAGAAGGTGCCATTTGAGACCCCCGTCACTTGTAGTGGCAGCGTTGAGGTTTGGCTTGGTAAATTGCTGAAGGAGATGCAAGACACCATTCGTTCTATATTGGCTAACATGGCGCAGAGTCTTAACGATCCTGAATTTATTTTTGTCGAGGAGTTTCCAGCTTTTTGCGGTCAAGCCGGTCTACTGGGCGTACAATTACTCTGGACGCGTGATTCAGAATATGCATTACGCAAATGTCGTACCGATCGTGTTATTATGAAGCGGACCAATGCGAAATTTCTAAATTTACTTAACTATTTCATCGATTTAACCGTGAAGGACCTGTCGAAGTTGGATCGTATACGTTTTGAGACGATGGTCACAATTCATGTGCATCAGAGGTATACTGGAAGTTAGCGAAGTGCACGAGCGAGAGCACAGCTCTGTAAAACATATGAATTCTAACTCCATAAAGTTGCCCCTTCTCTATTGCGTAAGGTCTCCTCTGATTGAGATGAACTCTCCCTCCCTTGAGGGATTCCCTCCTTATCGTTTTCTTCCTCCTAAGGTGTAATCTTCAGATTGTGAAGAACATTTTTAAGTATTTTTAAATCGGGGCTATGAGAAGATATAGGGAATATCAAGCCCTCAGAGTGTATTTCTGACATGAATCAATTTAGTAGAAAAAAAGCCACAAATTTGAGAAGATACTCGGTCGAAAATTGCTTCAACGGTTACAAAGCGCCAGTTATATATATACAATCGCGATCTTTAATGACGAGGTTTGTTGTTGTTGGGACTCGCTTGTCCCGCTTAGGAGCAGTCAAGACTGGCAGCGGAAAAGATGAGTCAGAAATGTTTACAAGGGAGCATAGGAAGAGGTGGCAAGTCTCGTGAGGGGCTTTATTTGCTGTAGGATAAAAGTCAAGTTTAGATACGTGGGAAGTTGATCGACTACAATATCCAGATCTCACGCCACCCGGTTATACGCATTGGAGTTGATCCAGATTTGATCGTTACAACCAATGCCAAACTTTCGGCGGTCTAACCTAGTTAAGGTCATCAGTCTAGTCTAAATGACGATGGCTTTTCTGCTGGCTTAAGGCGCTTTGGGGGATTGTTATTCTTGACCGATTCGCTTGGCGAGAAACTGGTTGTTACCGTTATCGTTAAGTTTTGGCGTGGTAAATCAGAGGTCGTAACCGACTATTTCTGGAGAAAACCATAGGAGAAAGATTTCGAACGAAGGCGAACCAAAGGAGGACGGTTGTTAGATTTATAAGATTAATCGTGCATCCAAAATCCTTGAATCTGGCCACAAAGTCCTTACAATCAGTCGTATTTTGTCGGGATTGACCAGTGTTTCGGGACCTTGGTCAATTAAAAGTTGGCATTGGTAGACGGAGTTGTAGGCTGATCTTAATGGGGCTATAGGCTGGTGCCATCGTTACGGTGTACTCAGAATCGTCCAATCTTCGTCACTGTCCGTATAAGTTTCTATTACCACTTCCATTCGAGGCGAGACTATTTTTAAAATGTGTTTGCTCATATTTTTCAGAGACATTTTCGATGATTTATGCACCATGCGTGTGAGATCTGTGGGCGACTTTGAATGGCAGAAACAAGCGAGATTCTATTATCACGAAGACAACGATGATATCGCTGTCGGTATAACGGACGTAAATTTCATATACCAGAATGAGTATCTGGGCGTAACCGAGAGATTGGCTATAACACCATTGACGGATCGTTGCTATATAACCTTAGCGCAAGCTATCGGTATGTTCGTGGTAATAAAAATCTGCTGAGAAAACTTGAACTCACTTTTCTATAGGCATGTCTATGGGTGGCGCACCCGCCGGACCGGCTGGTACTGGTAAGACGGAGACCACTAAAGACATGGGTCGCTCTCTAGGCAAGCTGGTTGTGGTGTTCAACTGCTCGGATCAAATGGATTTTCGTGGTTTGGGTCGTATTTACAAAGGTCTGGCGCAATCGGGTTCTTGGGGTTGTTTCGATGAGTTTAATCGCATTGAATTGCCAGTCTTATCGGTAGCAGCTCAGCAGATCTATATCGTTTTAACCGCTCGTAAGGAGAAACGTAATTGGTTCTTATTCAGTGATGGCGACGTGGTCACACTTAATCCGGAGTTTGGTCTATTCATCACAATGAATCCCGGTTATGCGGGCCGTCAAGAATTACCAGAAAATTTAAAGATTATGTTCCGTTCGGTGGCGATGATGGTGCCGGATCGCGCTATTATCATACGCGTCAAATTGGCCAGTTGTGGCTTTAAAGAGAATCTGGTGTTGTCGCGTAAATTCTTCACACTCTACAAGTTATGCGAGGAGCAGCTTTCCAAGCAGGTGCATTACGATTTCGGCTTGCGTAACATTTTGTCAGTGCTGCGTACGCTGGGCGCACAAAAGCGTGCCAATCCCAGTGATACGGAGGAGACTATAGTGATGCGTGTGTTGCGTGACATGAATGTCTCTAAGTTGATTGATGAAGATGAGGGTCTCTTCGTATCACTCATCGATGACATGTTCCCGGGCATCAAACTGACCACAGCTTCATACAAGGATTTGCAGCGCGCTATAGTGAAGGTGGCTGACGAAATGGGTTATGTAAACAACCCTGAATGGAATCTGAAGGTCGTGCAATTGTATGAAACTTCATTGGTGCGTCACGGTCTTATGTTAATGGGACCGACGGGGTCTGGCAAGACAAGCTGCACACATGCCATGCTGAGATGTTTCACCGAAATGGGCCAACCACACAAGGAGATGCGTATGAATCCGAAGGTGAGTGTGCGGTTAATTTACTTAGCCAGCAGTAGATTAAACACATTCCCGTAATTCAAAGACATTTCCTGTCTTCCTCAGGCCATAACGGCACCACAAATGTTCGGTCGTCTGGACGTGGCCACTAATGATTGGACGGATGGTATATTCTCTACACTGTGGCGACGTTCCTTGAAAATTCCCAAACATCAAAACTGTTGGATTGTGCTTGACGGACCGGTAGATGCGGTGTGGATCGAAAACTTAAACTCCGTATTGGATGATAATAAGACATTGACATTGGCCAACGGCGATCGTATTAAAATGGCAGACAACTCTAAACTGGTATTCGAGCCAGATAACGTGGATAACGCCTCACCAGCAACTGTTAGTCGTGTCGGCATGACTTTTATGAGTTCATCGGTGTTAAAGTGGACCGTTTATATGGAGGGTAAGTTGTGGGGGGCTGGAAGAAAATGTAACGTCAAAAACTACAATAATTTTTGTATTTTTCTCCCTAACCAACAGCCTGGGTGCGTAGACAACCCTCCGCTGAAGCCGAAATTTACCGACGTTGCTATACTGCGTTATACGACGATGCACACACCTTTCTACAAACCAAGTTGGTGGCGAAGATGCGCATACTCGAAGCGATTTACATCAAGCAAATGTTAGAAATTATGGACGGCATCTTGGAGGAGTGTAGTAATCGAACTGAGCGGTTTTTGGAACGCATGTTTCTATTCGCCTTAATGTGGACACTGGGCGCTGTGTTGGAGATTAAGGAGCGTGATAAGTTTGAAGAGTATTTGCTTAAACACCCCTCAAAGCTGAGTGAGTATCAAACGAGTTAAGCTCATAGATTTCCATTTCCCTCAACTCTTGTCCCTCAATAGAATGGCCCAAACGTCAGCCAAACGAGACAATATTTGAGTACTATGTAGATGATCAAGGTATGTGGCAACATTGGAATACGCGCGTTGAAGACTTCATCTATCCTGAGGATAGCGTACCGGAATTCGCCTCGATTTTAGTACCTAATGTGGATAACGTGCGCACCGCGTATCTGATGCATAATATAGCAAAGCAAAGGAAACAGGTGTTGCTTATTGGTGAGCAGGGAACTGCGAAGACCGTAATGATCAAAGGTTATATGTCGCAATACGACCCGGAGCAACATTTATCCAAATCATTTAATTTTTCTTCGGCGACTACGCCAAATATGTACCAGGTAAGTGGGAGAAGTGGGGTTGAAAGATTAACAAATTGGAGCCCAGTTAATAATTGTGCGAACTTACGTTGGTTAAAGGTATACTCTTCATGTGCTTGTTTATTAAGTCAGGATTACAACTCTCAATGTGGGTTAGTACAGTCGTTGGAATTACAGCGGCTGCTAGGCCGATAACTCCATAGTGCAAGTCAAGCGACCATTCTCGGTTGAACTCTTTACCGAGATTAAATGAAAAGTGGTCTTGGAAGTCGTATCGAAAGGGCCTTCATCACCTTTGGAGGAGCGATTGATACATGGCTGTTTGTCAGCCCTGGATACGAATCCACGTTCCTCTCGGCTGCGAAAGGTTCATGCTAAGCAGCAGATACGTGTGGTTCTACTAAGCGCCAGCTGAACTGTTTGCTTAATTTATATACAGTTTGAACTTAGGAGCTTCTGAATCTGGAGAAATGACTTAGTTTGAAACAGACGTTGTTGCTTTTGGCCAGATTTAGGAAGCCGAAAAACTACCGAGACTAATCAGAAGTTGTTTAAATCACCTACGCCAACTAAAGACCGTCGCCGAAAAGACGTTGCACTTTTATAAGGATCTTTTCAATTCATACCCCAGAAGGGGCGACCGGATTTAGGAAAGGAGTCCTTAATTTTGAATGTTATTCGTGCCCATGACATTCCGTAAAGTAGCATGTACTGCTGACCACTTGACTACAGTGGTGGCCGGTTATTTTCTCTTAAAGTAACCAAAAAGACGATTTAAAATCAAGCTAAAAGATTTTTCATTCATAAATTATATCTTTAATCTCTTTCAGCGCATTATTGAGTCATATGTGGAGAAACGTGTGGGCACTACATACGGCCCACCAGGTCAACGCTCCATGACTGTTTTCATTGATGATATCAATATGCCGGTCATCAACGAATGGGGCGATCAAATTACCAATGAAATCGTGAGACAAATGATTGAACAAGGCGGCTTCTACTCACTGGAGAAACCAGGTAAGCATTTCTAAAAAGCCACAAACACTGACAAAACTCAGCTCACCACTGAATTATAGGCGATTTCTCCAATATAATGGACATACAACTCCTCGCCGCCATGATACATCCGGGCGGCGGACGCAACGATATACCGAATCGCCTGAAACGTCATTTATCCATTTTCAATTGCACTTTGCCGAGTAATAATTCGATGGATCAGATTTTCAATAAAATCGGGCAGGGTTACTTCTGTTTGTCACGTTTCAATGAGGAAGTTGTCGATGTCATACCACATTTGGTGCCGCTCACACGCATATTTTGGCAAAATGTCAAAGCGAAAATGTTGCCCACACCAGCGAATTTCCATTATGTTTTCAACTTGCGAGATCTCTCACGCATCTGGGAAGGGATATTAAAAATAAAAGCAGAGGAATGTAATAATATGCAGACGGTGTTGAAGTTGTGGTGTCACGAGTGTACACGTGTTATAGCAGATCGTTTCACGGAGTTTAAGGATAAGGATTGGTTTATTGCCTGCATGAAACGTGATGCGGAGAAAAATCTGCCGGAGGAAATTGCTGAGAGTTATCCAGAGTCCGAAACATTTTTCGTGGATTTTTTGCGAGATCCACCGGATGCGGCAGAGGATGATGACGTGGAAATGTCTTTGGAACCGCCAAAAATATACGAAGAAATACCGAGGTAGATTTTAGAATTTAGATCTTACACTCTTTTGGTGTCGGAGAGACCTACTTTTTAGGCTAGTCACTGTTACAAAGCTTCATTGCCTCTAGACCATCTAAACCCATCGACTTTCAGGCAGATATGCGAATTCTTTCAAGAGAGTTTCCACTTCATTTTGTTTCCCTTCCAGTCCATTTATAGTTTCTTGATCTTCCGCGGGTGATGCGATCTTCGGCCGAAACCTGCCTCCAATTTGTGGTGTGCGTCTTGAAGCTTTCCATAAAATGGAGGGAGCAACAGTTTATTTTAAGCCACCTTCGCATTTAGAAAAATTAATTTTGTATAATTTTTTGTTGGTTGGCCAAGGACTCGAACCCTGGCCTTCCGAATGGTAGTGCACAATGCTAACAACTCGGCTATCCAGGATCGCATACGTTGAACTAAGAAATTGTGTTGGACTTTCACCAATTCCTGCAGGAACAGCTCTAACTGATTAGACTAATCCTCGCATTCCTGGCCATGGAGACGTGAAAGCAACTGCAAGACGGACCCAGTTTCTAGGCAAGGACGAGCAAGCATACTCTTCTCGATGAAGAACGTATTAGTATGACTCTGAATCTAAACGAATTTAACTATAGACAGCCCGTGTTATAGTGGAATCAAACTAGATATGACTTGCCGAAAATCCAAGCCAACGTGGTAGGTTGGTTGATTAGGAGACATCCAAACCAACAGGAATTCTGGAAGGTTATTGTTTGATAGTACGACATGAAGAAAAGACTTTTAAGATATGTAACAGGAGCTGCGAGTATGAGGAGGAAAGAACCACTTATCTTATATGTTACTACTCTGCTTAGGGCAGTGCTAGGTTTCGAAATTTAGGTGCCATAGGAAGTTCATTAGAGAATCGTATTCAGTCCTAAGTGCAATCGGTGTCCTTCATCTTTAGCCACTACAATCCCTCTAGAAGTCTGAATTTTTCTTAATTCCTTTTCTACGTTCAATTGAACCTAGAGCTTTTAGAGCGACTCACTTAGAATTGAGTAGTAGTAGAGTAATTCCTCTCTCTATTCAATTCTCTTTCAGCTTTGATTTCGTTAAACAAAAAGTACTCTTCTACATGAGCCAATTTAATGAATACGTACGTGGATTTACCATGGATTTGGTCTTTTTCCGAGATGCACTGGTCCATCTAATGATCGTATCGAGGATTCTTAGTATGCCAAGGTAAGTCTTACCTTAGAGAGGAGTCTATCTAACTTCTCATCAAATTTTACACCTCCACATTCCACAGAGGCAATGCGCTGCTAGTCGGTGTTGGCGGTTCGGGCAAGCAGAGTTTGACGCGCCTGTCTTCGTTTATAGCCAACTACAAGTTCTTTCAGATTGTGCTAACGCGCGCCTACAATGCGGGTAATCTAGTTGAGGATCTTAAATATTTATACCGCACAGCCGGTTTGGAGGGACGTGGTATTACATTCATATTCACCGATAATGAAATTAAAGATGACGGTTTTCTCGAGTTCATCAATAATATCTTGAGTTCGGGCGAAATTGCAAACCTCTTTGCAAAAGATGAAATGGGTTAGTGCCTTCGATTGCAGGGATAATGAAATTAAGCAACGGTTTTTATGCATTTTTTCAGATGAAATTTACAGTGAAATCACGCCAATTATGAAGAAGGTCGCACCGAAACGTATACCCACACAGGATAATCTTTACGATTTCTTCTTGTCACGCGCACGCTACAATCTACATATAGCACTCTGCTTCTCGCCCGTAAGTGATGCCTGTTAACTTTTATTTTCACTTACCCCGACCCATTTTCTTAGATTGGTGAGAAATTCCGTGCGCGCTCCTTGAAATTTCCTGGTTTGATTTCAGGCTGCGTTATTGATTGGTTCCAGAAATGGCCGGAAGATGCGCGTGTTGCCGTCTCACGTCATTACCTGAAAGACTTTCCTATGGTGTGTGCACCAGAGGTCAAAGAAAACATCATAGACATAATGAGTTGGATACATGAGACGGTATCCGAAGCTTGCGTCTCATATTTCGAACGTTTCCGACGCACAACATTCGTTACGCCCAAATCGCTAATTTCCTTTTTGCAAAGTTACAAGACACTCTACAAAGATAAGCAAGTCAATATCATTACAATGTCCGATCGTATGAGCTCCGGTTTGGATAAGTTGGACGAAGCGGGTGCTGCAGTGTCGGTGCTGAAGAAAGATCTGATTGAAATGAATAAAGTCATTGCTGTAGCGACGGAGGAAGCTGAAGAAGTACTAGAGAATGTGGCGCAATCGACTGCCGCAGCCGAGATTGTCAAAGTGCAGGTGGCCGAGAAGAAAGCCCAGGCTGGTGAGTTGGTCAAAGTGATTTCGGCGGATAAAGAGGTGGCCGAGGCTAAATTGGAAAAGGCAAGACCGGCGTTAGAGGAAGCCGAAGCAGCGTTGCGGGTAAGTTTTCGACGTTGAACAATATATTTCGCTCCCTTTAACCAGCTTCCTGCCATTGCTAGACAATAAAAGCTGCCGATATTGCGACTGTGCGCAAGTTGGGCAAGCCGCCATATTTGATCACACTCATTATGGACGCGGTATGTATTCTATTTCGTAAGAAGGTTAAACCCATTAAGGCGGATACAGAAAAGAACTTTCTACAAAGCTCCTGGGAAGAGTCGTTGAAGGTCATGTCGGACACTAGTTTTCTAAAGAAGATTGTCGAGTATCCCACCGATATTATTAATGCCGAAATGGTTGACCTGCTGTTGCCGTATTTCAATTACAAGTACGTAATCTTAAACTGAGTGCTTTGCCCTCTCTTTAAACACCGATTCTTACAATCCGCTTTCAGTTTATACACATTTGAGGCCGCAAAAATAGCTTGCGGCAATGTTGCCGGTCTGCTCTCTTGGACCATTGCTATGGCCAAGTACTTTGAGGTGAACAAGGAGGTGCTGCCGCTGAAGGCGAATTTAGCTGTGCAAACAGCTAAATATCAGAAGGCCGCTGCCGATTTACAAGAAGCCGAAGATTTGTTCGCCGCCAAGGAGCGTGAACTCGCTGAGGTGCAACAGCGTTTCAACGAAGCCATCGCCAAGAAGGACGCCGTGCTCGCTGAAGCGAAGAAAGTGCAAGATAAAATGGATGCTGCCACGGCGCTTATAAGCGGTTTGGCGGGCGAGAAGATACGTTGGACGGAACAGATTGCACAATTTAAGAATGAAACGGATCGTCTTGTGGGCGATACTATTATATTGACTGCTTTCCTTTCCTACACAGGGCCGTTCAATCAAGAATATCGCATCGATTTGCAGTCGCAATGGTTGAAGGAAGTACGTGAACGTCTCATACCGCTCTCCGCTAACTTGAGTATTATTGAGAGTTTGACGGATCGCACACAAATTGGGGAATGGAATATACAGGGTCTGCCATCGGATGAACTGTCTGTGCAGAATGGCATTATTGCGACGAAAGCCGTGCGCTTTCCACTGTTAATCGACCCACAGTCGCAGGGTAAGGCTTGGATTAAGAGCAAGGAAAAGCACAATAACCTCATAGTGACCACACTAACGCACAAGTACTTCCGTAATCACGTCGAGGACTCTGTTAGTTTGGGTCTGCCAATGATTATTGAAGATGTGGGCGAGGAGCTCGATCCAAGTTTGGATAATGTTTTGGATCGCAATTTATTGAAGGTCGGTACATCCTACAAAATTAAAGTGGGCGACAAAGAGGTAGACTACAATGCGGCTTTCCGTTGTTACATAACGACAAAATTACCAAACCCTTCGTACACGCCCGAAGTCTCTGCGCGTACTTCTATTATCGACTTTACGGTAACCATGAGAGGTCTCGAGGACCAGCTACTGGGACGTGTCATACTTACGGAGCGCAAAGAGCTGGAGGAGGAGCGTCAAGAGCTGGTCGAAACGGTGACAAATAACATGAAGAAGATGAAAGAGTTGGAGGCAAATTTGCTGCATAAGCTATCCACTACCCAAGGCAGCCTGTTGGATGATGTGACTGTGATTGAGGTGCTGAACACAAGTAAAAATACCGCTCTTGAGGTGAAGGAGAAGATCGAAATAGCAAAAATCACCGAATCGAAAATCAATTTAGCACGCGAAGAATATCGACCGGTAGCGACGCGGGGTAGTGTCTTATACTTCTTGGTCTGCAGCATGGCCATGGTAAATTGCATGTATCAAACGTCTCTGGTGCAATTTTTGGATCGTTTCGACGCCTCCATGCATCTCTCGGCCAAAACGCACATCACCGCTAAGCGTATAAAGCGTATAATCTCTTATTTGACTTTCGAGATCTACCGTTACAAATCACGTGGTCTCTACGAGCAACATAAATTCTTGTTTGTGCTCTTGATGGCGCTCAATATCGATCGGCAGCTGGATCATGTAAGCTATGATGAGTTTCAGAATTTCATTAAAGGTGGCGCCGCACTAAACTTGAACGACTGCCCACCCGTGCCTTTCCGCTGGATCACCGACGAGACGTGGTTAAATTTAGTTCAGTTGTCCAGAATGTCACTATTTGGACATATACTCACGAAGGTATCGAATAACGAGCGCGGCTGGTTTAATTGGTATAAGAAGGAGTGCCCGGAGAATGAAGTAATACCTGATGGATACAATACCTTGCAACCATTCCATAAACTCTTGCTCATACGCTCCTGGTGCGTGGATCGTTCCATAGCACAGAGTCGCAAATATATCGCAAACTCATTGGGTGATCGTTTCGCCGAGCCGGTAGTTTTAAATTTCGACGAACTAGTAGCAGAGAGTAAGCCGTTAACACCTTTGGTTTGTTTCCTCTCTATGGGTTCGGATCCTTCGTCTAATATTGAATCGCTGGCTAAGAAGAACGAACTTAAATGCTTTCCCATATCGATGGGTCAGGGTCAAGAGATACACGCACGCAAACTCGTTGCGAATTGCCTGCAAGATGGTGGCTGGGTTTTGCTGCAAAACTGTCACTTGGGCTTAGAATATATGAACGAGTTGTGTCTGCAGTTACTGGAATTAGAAAGAATTGGCACCGAGGCGGCAGGATATCACGAAACATTCCGTATATGGATAACAACCGAGCCACATGAGAGATTCTCCATAACACTCCTGCAAATGTCCATCAAATTTACCAACGAACCGCCGCCGGGTATACGTGCTGGTCTGAAACGTACTTATGGCAATATGACACAAGATTTTCTCGACTACTCTCAATCTCCTTATTATCATCCGCTGGTGTTTGCGATCTCTTTCTTACATACAGTTGTGCAAGAGCGCCGTAAATTCGGTCCCTTGGGCTGGAATATACCGTACGAGTTCAATTTTGCCGATTGGTACGCTAGTTGTCTCTTTGTACAGAACCACTTGGACGATTTGGAGCCCGGCAAGGGTATTAGTTGGACTACGGTGCGTTATATGTTAGGCGAGGTGCAGTATGGCGGTCGTGTGACGGATGATTATGATAAACGCTTATTGAATACCTTCGCTCGTGTCTGGTTTCATGATACTCTTTTCGCGCCCACCTTCGAGTTCTTCAAAGGTTACAAGATATTCAGTTTCAAAGAGCAAGAATCTTATCTGGAAGCGATTGAGGATATGCCTCTACTGGATCCGCCACAAGTTTATGGTTTCCACTCAAATGCTGAGATAACCTATCAAACGAATACGATGAGGAGCATTTTGGACACAATCGTTTCCATACAACCGAAAGGTGGGTATAGAAGGTTGTGTAAATTCTTGCCAGGACCCGAAGAAAATGCTAAGATCTTTCAGCGTAAACTATACAGAATTTAGTAGCAGATTACGGTGGATATCTTGAAATCAGCTTGAATGAGATAAATTGCAATTTAATGTAGGAAGAGTTAATGAAAGTGCAATTTATGTTGAATGTTAAAGGTAATGACCGACATGAGATAAGTCGGAAGACTCCAAACAAGTTAACCTTAAAATTTTCGGGTAGGAACAGTTGTTGAAAAGTTGTTTTATAACTGATAACAGTTAAAAAGCTAACTGGAAAGGTTATAGAATTCCACTTACGAACTAGGAACAGTTAGCATTTACCAACTGGGAAGAGATTATGAGCAGTTATATTTACATTTTTCACGTATGAAATGAGGCGAGAATAATTAAAAAATTGACCTGTCAGCTGAAAATAGTTATACATTTGCACTGACGAACTGAGAACAGTTATACTTTTGCACTTACGAACTGAGAACAGTTATACATTTTCACTCACGAACTGAGAAGAGTTATACTTTTTCATTCACGAACTGAGAACAGTTATACATTTTCACTAACGAACTGAGAACAGTTATACATTTGCACTCACGAAATGATAAATGAACTTATCAATTCTGAACTAACAATTAAAAAGTACTCTGTAGAATGTATTTTTGTTTATATAACGAGCGTTTCCATATTTTCTCACTACTTTCTTCTCGCCTCAATTCAGAATCCTCCGGTGGTACTGGCGAAACCCGTGAAGATCGTGTTGCACGCTCTACACGTGAAATGCAAAGCAAAATGCCAGCACCCTATGACCTATATGAGGTCCGAGAACGACTCCGTCTAATGGGACACACAAGCTCAATGAATATATTTTTACGACAAGAAATTGATCGTATGCAAAGGGTGGGCCGCTGAAGTGTAGAGTATTGATATACATATTGAAAACTACCTTTTCCCGTAGATTATTATATTAGTTAGAAACACATTAAAGGACCTTTTGCTAGCCATCGAGGGCACCATCATTATGAGCGAACAACTTCGTGACGCATTAGATAATATTTTCAATGCACGAGTGCCGGCTATGTGGAAGCGCGGCAGTTGGTTATCATCCAGTTTGGGTTTTTGGTTCACCGAGCTGTTGGAACGTAATCAACAATTTCACAATTGGTGTTTCGGCGTAAGTACAGAAAGTTGTGGATTACTAAAGATACAAAATAATATTAGAAATTTACTTCGTTTTTTCTTTCTTTTTTAGGGTCGACCAGTTGTATTCTGGATGTCTGGCTTCTTCAATCCACAAGGCTTTCTCACTGCTATGAAACAGGAAGTGGCACGCGCACATCAAGGTTGGGCTTTGGATCAGGTCACCATGCATAATGATGTGCTGAAAGTGGCCGCTGAAGAGTGTAAAAAACCACCGAAGGAAGGTGTATTCGTCGAAGGTTTATTTGTGGATGGCGCTGGTTGGGATCGTAAGCTCTCCCGTTTGATTGAGGCGACAAATAAGGTCTTATACGTACCATTACCGGTTGTACATATATATGCTATAAATTCTGTTGCTCCGAAAAATCCAAAATTATATACGGTGAGTGTTCGAAGAAAGAATATTTTCACTACATAAAAACTATTTTTTTTCAGTGTCCGGTTTATAAGAAAATTAATCGCACAGACCTCAACTACATTACACCACTTTGGCTGCAATCGCAGAAGCCGCCAGATCATTGGATTTTACGTGGTGTTGCATTGCTTTGCGATATCAAATAAACATGCCAAAATTACATTGTTGCATTCGCATATATACCCATATTTTGATATTGAATGTTTGTTGTGGTATTGAATTTAATAAATTGTTATTATAATAGATTTGTTCTTTTTTATTAAATTATTTACAAAGCTATTACCATCACAAAACGTTTTGTGAATATTGAATACATACCAAAATCTAGACTAATTTTTATATAATTAAGGTATATGTATATTATACTGCGTTGTGTTAAATTCATAAACACCATCATAATATCAGGAGAAATGAGACGTCTAAAATGGTTTCAGTAGTCAGTTATGATTAGTTTTTGTCGCCAGTTTTAAGGGAAACTGGTAACGCATACACAAAATGTAAAATAAAAAAATATAATTATTATGTAAATTAATGCCTTTCTACACAATAATATCTCCTTAGTTGAAGAATTTGCATTATAAAATATTCCACTTCATTACCTCTTCTCAGTTACACTTTAATTGCGACCTAGTTGATTGCCCCGACCCCAAGTGTTACCGAACACAGCATTTCCGGGAGCTGGTCGTTGAGGCGCACGACTCGCTGGTGGCTCACCAAAGCCACTAAATCCACCATTAACATCTGGCACATATTGTTTACTGTTAATTAAAAATATTAAATATTTTAACGCTAGCTTTTCATTGTTTCTTCAAAGTAGAAACTACTTACAGCAAATTCGGTGTCTCCAAGAACGCATTGCCACCCAGCTCTTGTGGATATTGAAATTTGAAAAAGTAATAAAAGTGCCCAATAAGTATGCCAATCAATGATGCAATCGATCTAAAGTAAATAAAACGTTATTATAGTACATATAATAATGCAATGTTATGACGTGTGCTTTAATTTAATACTTACCCTTGGAATACCAGTTCCATTATAGCTAACACCCACGGCAAATAGACAGCCTTGAAACGCGTGCCAAACCAAAAGTTCACAATGACATCTTTATTTAGCTGGCACCAAATATATGTAGTAGATACCACCAGCAAATCCATAAGAAAGAATACCTGCAAACAAATTACCACATGACATTATTAACATCAGCAAAATGAATATAAAATATGCAATTATTACGAACTTACATTGAATAACATGCCACCAACATTCGCCAGGAAAGCGACTATTAGCAACATGTACAAATAATCAGCTGGACTGCGTCCGAATTGATCCTTCTCCAGCTGTGCTATATAACGTGATATGAAATAGCAGTTGATGAGGAAATGGAAACCCGTTGCTGATGTCAGCGGGTATACAAATAATGCTGTCACACAACGCCATAATTGAAAGTGTCCCAAAACTGCATCACGCCGGAGATACACCAAATTCATGGGTAATATATCGAAGCGGGTCAGTAAACTCAGCACTACCGTACAGGTAAGCCAATAGCGTGTAAAACGCGGCAATTGATTAAACCACTGACCTGGGTCGGTCATTTTTGCTATTAGTTTTATTTAAAAATTATGAAAAAGAGCTTATAAAAAAGTTGCTTTATACAATGTTTTCCGTTTGGAGCAGAGAACAGATGAGCTTATTTATTTTCTAGAAGTTGTCAAAAATGCCAAAATATTACGTGTCCTAATCTTTTACAATTTGACGGCGCACAGTGCTGCCAAGTTAAGGTAACCGGATATCTCGTCCGTAGGGTTGCAATGGCAATAGTTTCAAATAAATGTTTTAAGTTCATTTTTAATTTAAATAACGTTTTGAAAGTTAAAGACTACTTAAATTTATTCTTTATTTAAGAAAATAGAAACTACGAGTAAAATATACAGAAATTCAAGTATTCATCAGAATTTTAATGTTCAAAGATGTCGGAAAATGCATTCATGCTAAACGTTTCGGTAGTCGTCAGTTTTTCTATTTACAGTTTCTTTTTTGACGTTGAATTGAATTTTTCGTTTATAATTAAAAACTTTATAGTTGAAAGGTGTATTCAGTTTGATTTATTTACTTAAAACAATTTGAGATTCGTTAACAAGTTTTTAATAATCATCGCGTAAAGACTTCCGCTGATTTCCGGTTGTATTCTTTGAAGTGCAGTTATGTACATTATGTACATGCGAATTTATATCTTTACACATATCGTATGAAACTTTGCGCCATATAATAGGGGCAATGTGTGAAATTATTTTCCATGTAATAAAATAATTTTAGTCTTTGTTCGTATTCGCTCGTTTCAAGGGCAACATAATTTTGTGTGTTTGAAATGTTTCCTTTTTTATTTCGATCGTACAATTTTGGTGCTTATATATATGTGTATGCACATACATACGTATAAACGATGGAAAATCTAAAGATGCGATAAATATACCACAAATGCTATTTATATATGTATATATGCATATATGTATGTATATATAATATGTATCGAGCTGCACAGTGAATTTAAAAAAAAAATAAATTAAATAAAGTGAAATGAAATCAAATATTAGAAAACGGAAAAGAAAATATACTACATTCCTATGAATTTTACTTAGCTAGTGATACATGTAAGTAAAAAGCAAAATATTAATAATACATACGTAAATACTATGTATGCCCGTATAATACATAACATACATATAAACTTAAGCTCGGGCAGTAAAGAAAGGCCAGGCATATTAGCGTTTTTCGCATAGCAAAAGAACAAAAAATTTGAACTTATTTCTCCTCTTCATTTATTCATCTTTTTTTAAGAATAATAAAATTGTAACTGTGGCTATGCTCGAGTCATTACTTTATTATTATAAAACACATCCTATTCAAACTTAATATTGGATTGATTTTTCGCTTTGCAAGCAATATTAAATGAATATGTCTTTATTATTATTTAGGGGTTTATAAGCTATTTGTGGAATGCAAAATATAAACGCACATATGTACATACTTAATGTACATATGCATGTATGTTTGTAACGAGAGTCGTTCGTCAAAAACAGTAGCATATTTGATTGAACGATGTTAGACACTTCAATGTGCATTTTTCCATTACGTTGCCTTTTCTAGTTAATTGGAGTTCATTTAGCTAAAAAATTTAATATATTTGTATATTGGTGCCAGAATGTATGCATATGTATGTACATACGTATGCACGTATGTAGGAATTTCTAAGAGAAAAGCATTTATGTATATGTATACGGGCACCAAATGTTTGTGTTTTGTGGATTCATAATCGAATAACGCACATATATACGTAAATATGTATGTGAATGCAGAAGAAGGCATATGGATTTTAAGTGATTGCAAATTTGCAATGAATGAATGCATCGAAATAAATAATGGAGAATTCGTCAAATGTCAAGTGTTAAAGTTCATTGTGCAGTGAAAAAAGAAATAATTTACACGTTACATGAAATTACATAGGATGTTTATAACCGTTTTGGCGATTTTAGTCCGAGCTGCTACTCCAATTCGTGGACGCACGCACGTCTTGTTGTTTTTTCGCCTCCGTACGGCCGATGGTTTTTATGAGGAGGCTGCTATTCTATATCAGATATGCATCAAGGCTTGACATTCTATGTCTTTCAAAAATGTTAATGCGTCCCTTACGACTATATCCGAGTAAAAATAGTAAATAGTGTAGGAATTTCTCCAGCTCTTTTTCTTCCTTCCAAACACATACTGATAATACCCGTTTAGTTCGTTGACGGAAAGCCTTTATCCTTCACACATAACTGCAGATCTGACCTAATATATGTATATATGTAACATTCAGACTCTTGCGTTCCTTCTTAAGGGTTGGGTAGTGCAATCTCAGGTTTCTCTCATCGGTTATGCCTTTCTCCAAGCATATTCTCCAAATGAGCTGATGCATTTACGTAGTCAGTTTTTTACCGCCTTGTTGTTCTAACAAGCAAACGCTGTGCGAGTTTTATCATAGTCGGATGCTGGAACGTCTCAATTAGCGTCATCAGTTGCCGTTACGGATTCATTATCCACGAATATTTAATTTTCACTGTAATTAAAGCAATTTCCTTCCTCTATTAATTAAAAATATTGTTTACGTTAATTATTATATCCCCTGCTTCGTTTTTACAGTCTTGAAACCATATTTAAGTCGTCTAATTTTCTCATAGAATTTTCGAACACTTCTTCTGTTAGCTGTCACTTCAAGTTCCAAGCAACTGACGCATTTCAGCTACTTCCTTTTTTCTCTCTCTCTCTCTCTCCCTCTCCATCCGTCTCTGTTGCAACGTTGCATAATTGGAAGTTTTTTCGCTACTACCATCTACTATCTTTTTGAAATTGTCGTAAACCATAGTTTCGTTGGCGGTTAAAGGTGAAGTTCGTCTTCCCACAGTCTACTTTTTCCGAGTTGTGGAGTCTGCTCACAGAGAGCAGATTTGCTAGTCGAGTAGAAAACCGCTTAGTTGTCTATTGTTGAACGGACATTCTCGGTTGCAACAACATAGTCTGAGTACTCTGGACTATACGTCTCGGTCTATACCAACGTGATCGAACTGCTCTCCAGTCTTTTGATCCACCGATTATCAAGGAGTTTCTTTGATTCGTTTATGTCGGACTCCTCGGCCGGCAGGGTTGGGTTCTGAAACCGCCACGTACAAATCAGCTTCAATGAAAAAATAAAGAAAACTTTAAATGAAGTCTGTGAAAAATTCCATAATTTAACATACATTTCCCACTGTACACCACACCTAACCTAAGAAATGTGCATTCGTCATTAATAAATTTTCTGCTGATATTTCAACAATGAATACCGACTGATAATGTAATGAATATGATATGTAAAAAGTAAATAAAATTCTTTCTTTGTATGTATGTATGTATGTATGTATGTATGTATGTACGCAGTACAAACATATCCACCAACGACCCACCAAACTAACCTCTTCAAGTTGTTAAGTAAAAGCAACAAAATGAATAAAGTTGCCTGCCAACAGAGCAGTTGTTTGTTGTTGGTTTTGACTTTTTTCAGTTTTAAGAAAATGCAGGAGGAGAAGGAGTGAGTAGTAACCTCGCCACTGCTACTCTTACTCCAACACATTTCCAGACAGAGACAGAGGATGTTCCAAAGTCATAAATAACAAGCCTGTTGAATACCTAGCGACCTACCGAAGAAGACGGTAGGCAATAAAGGAAGAACGCAGTGGGAGCAGTTTAAGCAAACACATGCACAAGTGTGGATATTGTTTCTACGTACAGAGCAGAGACAAAGTAACAATAAGATGAGAGGCTAATAGATTGACAGCAGTGGCCAGTGTGTTTCGCTTGCTTGTCTGAGCCTCTCTCCTTGCAAATATGTGTATGTGTGTGTATGTGTATGCGCTGTCTGTTCCATTTTGGCCACACCTACTTATTAAACGAGCAGAATAAAATGGGTGCTATCAAAATGTGAACAGACACACACATACATATGTATATATTTCTAAGCATGTACATATGTATGTAAAATGCACATGCGCTGTTCTTGGAGTTCTCATTTCGTTGTCTCACTTTTCGCGCATACTCTCCCTCTCGCTTCGCGACAGTTTCTTCGCCACATCCCCACGAGGGAGGAGGCTAGAATTGAGATACTAAAAACTCATCCCCACCGCAACCCACTCTACCGTATACAATTTGTTTACCATTGGTCCACTTGCCAATTTTTTTCCTCTGCAATTTCCTTGCTAAAGTTGGTTTTACTTTTCCTTGCGCTCTTCTGTAGATTTCGCTTTGTCCAATTTTTTTTTTGGTTCACCTGTCTGTCGTGCTAATAATCTTTGTTTGCTTTGCATTTGTTTGTATTCAGAGCGGAGGGAGCGGGTGCTCCTCGTCGTCGCTACACCGCCCAACCTCACCCCACCGGCCTCTCAGTCGCTAACTCTTTGTCCATTCGCAGTTTTCTTTGATTGCATTGCATCGTGCGTCGGTATGTGCTGAGTCCTTTTGTTTGGTCCTCTGCTCGCTCATTTCGTTGTCACTTCGGCAGTGCATTTCTGAGTAGTAAGTGTAGATTTAGCTGATGTACTTTTCTTTGGTGGTTTTCATTGGGCTTTGCAGCTGCAATTTCTGGAGATGTTTGTTAAGTTTTTGGCTTTGTAACCTCTCTCTCTCTGTGGAATACAGCAAGTAACTCGTAAATAATTTATTATCCTCTTTGTCGAGGAAGCTTTGGTTATGGAAATACATGTATACCTCGCCAATATTACTTGTAGAGATTTACTAAGAAATGTAGGGTTATTGTTAAATTAGTCTTGACATGAACTGTAGAAAACAGTGACTAGGTTAAGCCTATCCAACTTCTGGATCTTGGCAAATCTTATATTGTATATTTTATCCTTCTGAAAATGGTCTTTAGTCAGTCACATGTTATACCTTAGTCATTTACTCTTTCCGCAGCACGGCGTCAATTAGTGACACTCAGTAAAGTCTGGCTTGCATTACTTAGCTTGTATTTATACTCAGAAAATAGGGTCTGATAATTATCAAGTGCTTGTCGATATTGGTGGAAGACCCTTTGACGCATCCGGCCTTGCTCATAGAACAGGTTTCTGAAAATTCATCTCCGATGCTTCGTGCTAGGCTAGCTGCTCGACATTACACTCTTCTTCACCTGCTATTGTTCCGTCAGTATTAAGGTAATGTTCTGAGCAGCATGTCGTGGATGTCTTTATTCTACTTGCTTTTGTCGAAGAGTCATCCGTGAGGAATAAAATGAGATTCACGACTAGTAGTGGCATCGCCTGCTCCCTACTCTGGCCACTTCCCCCCAGAGCCGACACCTTCCAGTGGACTCTCTCCTACTGTGTATATCAACTGATGACCACCAAGTCTCGATTGGATGATGGAGAAGGAAAGTGAGGCCTGAGGATTTGTGAGTCTTGGTGGCCATAATAGCTGAGTGGTTATCAGTGCGTACTCCCATTCGGAAGGCCAGAGTTCGAGTCCGACCAACATCCAAAAGTTATAGAAAATTAATTTAAATAAAAACTTAAGTAAGTTTTTTTAATTGTGGTTGCACCTCGGCAGGGAATGTCAGGCCCTTTGAGTGTATTTCTGACGCGATATAAAGGCTCCTCATACAAACAAACCATTTGGAAGAGCCTTATTATTAGCTCTAGGTTGTAAAAACAACCAGACACACACACCGCAAATTGGTGGAGGAGTTCGGCCAAAAATAGCTTCAGCGGCTACAAAGCGCCAATTATATATTTGTGTATATATATATCGGTCTGACATCTCCTTCAGTACTGCCGTGGTGGTATACCTCCCACCTGATTCTAATAGAATTTTTTGCTGTTCAGCATTAGTTTACACAGATATTTAGTTTTAAAAGGTGAGTATAATCAAAAGCTTATTCAGCAATATGTAGCTCTGACAAAAGCTAGAACGTAAGATTAGCTAAACAGCCATTATGGAAATATGAAAACTACGAAATTCAGAAGTGGAATATCTACAATTGTTGAACAATTAGGCCTTAAGAAATGTTTGAACTTATAAATAAATCTACGCCCTGATACACAGAAGTGGAATATCTATAAAAGGTAATCAATTAGTTCAAGTTGTTGGGTAAGCAGGCCTCTACTAGCTCTCTGCAGGGAGCGAAAAATAATTGAACTCACAAAGTTCTACTCCCCTTAAAAATTTTATAGCGTACGCCAATGAAGCTAATTCTAATAAACACACATAAATACAGTGATAATGATGATGATGATGTTGATAATGATCGTTAATGGTGGTTATGTGACCAACAGTCATTATGGCTGCCATATGACAATAACTGCAGACAGACAGATAAACATACAATATGACACTTTTAGTAAGCACTAAATGGGAAACGACTCCCTAACAACCCCATACAATATTATGCTCGGCGTTTCGTATGCTCTATATATGAGCAGTTGAGAGCGTTAAAGAAAGAGCGCACACAAGGGTGCATGAGTGAAATGGATTATGCTGTACAACATTCTGAAAAAGTTACTGCCTCACCACCTAAATATATGTTTTTATTTATTATATCAGCAGTGTTTCTCGCAAGCGCGCGGTGCCTGGTCTGTATGTAACAAAATTTTATGCTCTCTCTCTCGCTCTGTAAAATTTTCGCTTTTTTATATGCTTCTTATTGTTGCAAGTAAATGTAACTGTAGTTGCTGATATTAGAGTGCGCGAGTGTACATGCAGACTTAGAAATTCTTCAAAACGCATTTCATGCAAAAATTTACCGACGGAAATTTATAACTGTAAAGACGAATACGGGAACCTTTGAAAGTTCCTCCTTGCGGTAGGCGTGTAAACATGTGTGTGTGTGTGGGTGCACTGAGTGTCACGTTGTTGCCGCGGGCTGAGCAGCTTGTCGCAGCCGCCATTACAGCTAACCGTTGCTCCTATTACTGTCGCTGTCAGCTGTCAGCTCTCAACTGTCAACTCATCAATAATTTCTAGGTTTTATGCTACTGGAAAGGCAACAATTACATATGTATGAACATAATTTTTTGCGTTTGAATATTTTCGTATGTATGTATGTGTTACTCAATTTTGTACGCGCCTAAACGCATCTTATACCCAGTTCGCTTGGAGCCTCTTCAAGGTTTTTTCCAAGCCACTTTGGCATCCTTTGATATTTTTGCCTTTTGTGTCAATGCATGCATATAGTATGTATGTATGTATGTATGTATGTACATTTCGGTATGTGTTATGGCGTTACCTATTGACACTCATGTTGCCGTCACATAATCATTAATATGTATGCACGCATACATACACATCGCTTTTGCTCCCCCACCCACTCGGTACGAGCGTATGTGCGGGCGACTTAATACATTTAATGTGTGCTAAAGTGCAGAGATATGAAAATATGCATGTTTGTATGTATGTATGTGCGTTGGTGTTTGTGGTAACTTGGCCAAGATTTTTGCATTAATTTACTTTTCGTCATAAATCAAACATTTGCATTTTAAATCTGTTGTCGCCACTGACAGTCGAAGTGTACGCGGCTAACGCGATTTCTCCAAACACTTTTCGTGAACGAAAATTTAAAAAAAAAAACTAAATTAAAAAAAAAATTGTAGAAAAACGAATAATTAAAAAATAAAAAAAAGTAAAATACATTCAAAAAAAAAGAAAAAATATATTAAATATATTAATAATACATTGTTGTTAGTGAAATCAGTTTCCAACGCCATTCTTATTCTTGGTTAGATGTGTAAAAATTTAAAAAAAAGTGATAAACGAAAAAACTAAAATATACTTCCTCGTATTTTAAGTGGATAAATCGAAAACGATTGAGCAATTTAACAGAACTAGAAATACTTGCAGCAACCATCACTTGACCAGGATATCATTAGCTCTTAAGGTAAGGATTTTTAATGTTTTAACCACAGAAATATAATCTAAATATGATGGAGTTATATTTTAATGAAAGTAGTTCTCGAAGCAAACCGCTTTAGATACATTAGTAAAGGGTTATCCAATTATTTATATTAAGCGTAAATAAAATGCATTTAAAATAATTTATTTCATGACATTCCTTTTTATTATAAAATTTTCACCTTGGCATTATATATTTAATATGTGAAACTTCAACATTCAAATGACCGCCTCGCGAAGCCTCCGACCTGTTTTAGCACATATTGAGTAGTATCTCAGCCATAACCTAACAAATTTTGGTTTTCAAATGCTCAAGAGTCTAAGACTTTTCCGCATAAAGACGGTCTTTCACGTTGCCCTAAACCAAAAAAATCCAACAGCTTCAAATCGCACGCTAAGTACCATTCTCAAAAGGAGAGTCGGAAAATTTCGCTCGCAATAAAGCTATATTGCCCAAGTCGTGTTACTCAATAGAATGCGCAAAAAGTCGGTGATCCTACGACCATAAATCTCCGATTTGACAGTGACAGACCCGCCGTTGTCGATTTCAATGAAGTAAGGTCCAATCACATCATATCTCTGTACCAAAGAACGCACCAGACAGTAACTTTTTTTTATTGGCCATAATGAGCTCCCTTGAGATATTCGAGGATTCTCAGAGCCTCAAATGCGGACAAATTTGCTTATTTATGTATCCCACGAGTGAGAAATGTCTTCTCGTCCACTGTTTGTTGTTCAAGCACTCAATCGATGTAAGTGCGGCGTTGTTAATGGTCTTTGGCTTTAGTTGTTGTCTGAGCTGGACTTTATACAATATGTAGATAGGTGTGAGTCTAAGTTTAAAATACACCAGAATGTATCGTAAGAAAGTTCCATCTCTAGCGAACGCCGAGAAGTGGACACATTCGGGTCTTCGGCTACACTTACAGTTTCTTCAAATTTCGATGATTGTGTCCACCATAATATTTTCTGAAAGCGCCAGACGTGGCCACGTTTGAATCCTCCCATTTTGTAGTTGGTTTTGAACAGGTGCTTTTGGGCAGCGAGCATAGTACAAGGCTGGGAGCTTCAACGATGTGCGGGTCTAATTGGACTGGTACTCCTTGGAGTGACGTGCTATCACCTCTTCTCTGGATCGCTACAATGAAATTTTAGTTTGGACCTAGAAAGGAAGGGAGTTCATGCTGTGGCTTAGGCAGAGGATGTGAATGTTTCAGTTAGAGGGAAACTCCCCGATGCGCTCGGCAAATCTTATGTAGATAATTCTATATAATATAAATCGCTAGGCCAAAACATGTAGCTTAAGCTCAAAACATGGCAAAATAGAACTTGTAATGTTCACTAGGAAGCACAGATTACCAGATTTGCCCCTACCAATAGCGGATTGTATTATTTTATCATTAGAAGAAAATGCTAGCCTACTGGGCTTAAAATTGGACAGGAACCTCTCATAGAAACCAAATTTAGAAGATAGGGAAATATGTACTGTATGTAGGATGACGATGTCCAAATGGGGTTAACACTACGAGTAATACGTATGTATAGCTAATATACGGTAGTTGTAAGTCCAATTATGATATATTGGTTTGGTGGCCAATAACAGAAAAAAACGCTGTAAATCGTATGGAAACATACAAAGAGCACACTTGTTTTTGTATTTTTTCGAAGATAAGCAAATCCGATTTTCGAAGAAGCTGGAAACAAAATTGTGCAGAAAACCCAGAAATTTAATTTAATTTTTGTACTTTCTTTAACACACATTTGTGATTTTTAATAAAAAATAAAATAAATTCAGCCGTGATAGCATTTTTGATGATAGAAGAGAATTTGGAGAAATCAGCGTGAAAATAAAGTGCAAAAATTTAAGGGTTAAGAGCAATCCGCTGGGTGTTTAGAGCCGATCTAGGTGCAATTTTCATTCTACTCTTATATTTGCTTATACAAAATTTTGTTTGTATTGTCGATTCAAAGGCCAATATCGTCTTAACAAAGAAATCTTTGCCAGATGTCATTGAAGACTAGTTAGATAAGTTGTGCATCCCATCTGTGATCCAACTTTCAGTGAAAATCTTGGTTTTCGCTGAAGGCTCCTATCAACGATCTCCTTTGCGAGGCCCATAGTTTCGGTGGTTACAAGAGCAGTGCTTTAGAATGGTCTTTGAATGGTTATTTGCCCATTTGCTGTATAAAGTTATGAACGACCGACAATAAAAATTGGAGAGTTTGCAACCATTTTTTACATCAAGTACCGTTTACCAGGCATTACTGGTTATAAAATCGACTGTTCATGACTTATATATTTTTTTTTATTAAATTTCCGCTTGCAAAGAAGTTAGCACACAATTCGGTCAACGATTATCTGCTCGGTTTAATTCTGACACCTAAATCGATAAATCAGTTTTTGGAGCACCCAAAACCGTTAAATATTCTTTTTCGAATGTGTAACCCTTTGATTCGGACAACAATCTGATTATGTAACACCCGTGATTATGCTGCAAGCAACTGGGCTATATTTCCTGCCGGGCTGTATACTTTTTTTTTGGCAAAAAAAAATTAATTTGATTTGTTGTTTTCATGAAAATTATTATGAAACTGTTTATAAATTATTAACTGTTGTAAAAAGAAATTCATTATTTTTGCTTGAAATTGAATGTTTCACTTTTTACTTTTCGTATCCAATCTTATTCAAATGTTTCCAAGCGGTTCTCTGTGCAATCTTTAGCTCTTTAGGCAAATGAAACAGTGCTTACATGACGCCGGACTCGACAATATCCAAGATTTTATCGACATTTTCGACAATTGGCCTTGCACTCCGCGAAGCATCTTTTACATCAAAATTACCGGAATGATAATGAAATTTTGCATGATTGACTGTAAAAGTATCAGGAACGCAGCCGCCTGGCTTGAATTTTCGCCCTTATCGAAGAAAAACTCTAAAATGTTGCGCATTTTCGCTTTGCTAGTATCCAACTTTGATGCACGCTCAAACAAAACTGAATCAAACAATCACAAAACTGAATCAAACAATGACAAAACTGTCCGGAAATCCTGCATGCGGCATGATGAGGATATTCTGGCCATACTGCTTTTCTTTGTGAGAAAAATCTACTGAATGGGAAGTTCAGTCATTACTTTAATTGACTCTCGTTTCATTGAAATGTCGGTCTTCAAACGCTACGATAACGGTATTAATATTCACTATTGGTTGTATATCCTTTCCCAAGATAGTCGATGAGTATTACTCCAGGCATATTTCTAAAAATTGATGCCAATCCTTCGCTGTTGATTGTTGCGCTTTCAGCGATTTGGACGAAGTTCAACAGTTGTTGGCCACTCATTTGAGTTCAGTAATGAATCCATCCTTTCTTTTTGCTCACCATCATATATCGACGCAAAAACATCGATTTACTTTGTTTGAGCATGTTTAAATAATGTGCAAGATCAAGTAGTTTTACTTCGTGAACATTCCAAATCATTTTGAGAGTGTCTTTTTTTAATGATTTTTGAACGTTCTGCGCTCCGCATCATCAGCATGTTTGAAGTCAGCAAACCGTCATTTTATTGTTGTATCTGATAGAGCGGAGCTCTGATGACATTCTTAAAACTATCTAATACTGTGTTCGAAATATATTAGGTCTAGTCAAAAGTAATCCGGTATTTTTGCTTTAAATTTAAGGCTTTATTTACCAAAGTTCGAATTATCCGATTTATGTCAAGTATGCGCCGTTTTGCTCGATAACTTTTTGTCATTTTATTTTGTCAAGGTAATGCCATTATGCCTTTCTCATAGAAAAAAAATGATTTTCATAGGCTCATCTTAAAGCCAATTCATCATTCGCCATTGACAGGAACAGACGGTAATCACTTGGTGCGAGGTCCGGACAATAAGGTGGATGTAAATGAACATCAGAAGTAAACTCTCTGAGCTTCTGGCGAGTCATTATCGATGTGTGCGGTCGCTTGTTGTCCTGATGAAACGCAATTCTCCTCCTGTTGGCCTAAACTGGCCGCTTCTGGGTAATTGCTTTCATTACACAATTTAATTGTTGATAGTACAAATGCGGATTAAGAATTAGGCCGCAGGTGAGTAACTCAAAGTGGATTATTACTTGCCAATTCCACCAAATACAAAACAATATCATCTTGACCGTCAATCCTGACTTGGCGATCGCTTGTGCCGGCAAACGCTACTAAGTTATGTAAGTGAGCAACACTTCTCCCATTATCTTTTTACTCGTAATACAAAATATCGTCTTTCAAAATATCAAACTATTTGTTTACCTTTCTGAGCGAACAACGTAAACAAAGTGACAATAAATCAGGGTTTAACTGGAGCAAAACTTTCCAGGAACAAAAAAAAAATAAGATCTTCTTCTTTTTTACTTGGCATGGCTTACGCGATTATAAGCGAATCAATTATAGCGTGCCATTCATATCTTTTTTGCGCTGTTTGGCGCCATTTGGTAATACCAATTTAAGGCAAGGTCACTCTCCACCTGATTCTTCCAACGGTCTTCATCTTCCTCTTCTTCCACCAGCGGGTACTGTCTCGAATACTTTCAAAGCTGGAGTACTCTTCATACATTCGGACGACAGGACCTAGCCAACATAGCCGCTTTCTCTTCATTCGCTGCACTATGTAAATATCATCATATATTGTAGCTCGTGCAGCTCATTTTTCCATCATCTGCGGTATTCGCCGTTGCCAATGCGCAAAGGACCATAAATCGTTCACAATACTTTTCTCCCGAAGACTCCCAAAGCCGTTTCATCAGCTGTTGACATCGTCCCATGCACCACACAGTAGGACGGGTACGATGAGCGACGTGTAGCGTTTGGCTCTCGTTCGCCAAGAGAGGAGAAAAAGAAGATATGAAAAAATATATTAGACGCCCTCACTTGAACAAAACTACAAATGAATAAAATATAGAAAAAAAAAATTAAGTGCTAAACAAACATTTTTCAACGGACGAGTGAAAATTTCGA